ATATACTTTTACTAGAAACGCTACTTTTTTAAGCTATATAATGTTTGGTTTTTAGTCCATCTATGATCATAAATAATACTTAAAAGTGAACTAAAAAAAAGATGTGATAAGAAATATATTGACCGTTTCTACCCTTTATCAAAAGAAAGAAAAAAAGATATTGACCATCTTCAACTTGAGTATCATTCTTTTCTTGTCATGGTAAGTAATTAATTTTTTAAAATTAAATTAACTATATTTTTTGCTATAGTGAAATTCATATAGATGATCACAATACATAATCACTATTAAAAATTGTAAATCAAGATAAAAAGAAAATTTTGTGTTTTCCTAACCACTTTTTTTTATATACAATTCATATGTATATAATGGGAATTTTATACAATTTATAACAATTATTTTTTGTTGTTAATAGAGATACTGCGGAATACCCTCCATTGATGAAATCAAGCAAGCTAAGTAACTCTCTCAAGTACTTAACCCAAGCCTATCTCGGGTAATATTTTAATTACATTTCCATAGTTTACAAATTGACATTCGTCATTGGATATCATAAATTATTGAAAATCTATTTGATCAGAATTTTAAATGTTCCATGATGATTTGAACAATATTCAACTTGAAAACAAATAGTTCATCTACTAAACCATGCATATATTATACGTTTCAAAAACAAACAAATCGTGTGTGATATTCGGACGCAACAACTATAAGCTAGTAAAGAAGGTATCCGACTTTTGACATGATTAAAAGTTATTAATCACTGTAGAAAGTACGACATGCTTTATGCTTATTAGCTTAAAAAGTTACTTAAAAATTGGAATAAAATCAACCGATGATAACCCTAGGAATATCTCGTCCGATCCATATCAAAGTTCGATTTGTCTGTCTCTACTCTCTACCTCATATTTTATATTATTGATTCATAACCAAAAGTTTCGTACATGTGTTCCCCTCCTACCTATAAGGTTTTTCTAAAATACTTTCATAAACAAATTGCAAAATTAATTTATTAATTTTTCTAAGAAATAGAAATCTTTTAACTCAGATTGTTGGGGAAAAAATAATTAAATCTCAACGAAAAATAGTCGAATCTTTCAAACTAAAGAAATACGCTATTTTGTTTACGTTAGTGTCAATGATTTCGTTTTTAGAGGTTAAAACGAGCATTTATAATTTATATAATTAAGGGTTTAGTTTAACAGGTCATAATGTTAAGTTTGTTTTGGATTAGAGTTCAGAATTTACAATTTATGATTTCTAATTTAAAATAATAATTTAATTACTGCTCTTCTTAATTATAGGTATGATATTCATGTGGGAATACAAGATCCTTATGAGGACTGCGTCGCAACAATGAGGCTATACACAAGAATGCGATATCAGAAACACAGGGCCGAGGCCTATCCGCTGGCCTCTGACACGCAGAACCGCAATAACTTTGCGGCGTGGAGGCAGAATGAACTAGAGAGGATGTCTCCAGAGGAGTTGCTCGACCTTTCACGTTCAGACTATTACTGCTGGTGCTTGGACTCGAATGCTTGAAAAAGAAAATTATACTGATGGTGCTTGATCATCTCTGAAAATAATATGCAAAGATATATTTAGTATAGTATAATTCAAAATCGAATAAAAATTGTTCTTTATTAGTGATTGTGGTGGTAATTTGGCATTCTCACTCATGCATTTCATACACACGGCTGTGTAAGTGTAACAAAATTACTATGTAGGTTCTTGCATTGTTATTACTTTAGTAAGAAAATAATGTCAATACTGACTTATGATAAAAAGTGAAATGTATAAACGAGCATCCACACCATCTTTTTACAAGATGGAATATTATTGTTCACCATATAAAATAAAAGTTTCTTTTAAAAATCAGAAACTGGGCCCGTTTAGCTAGGGTCAATGATACAACTTGGAGAGTCGAACAAAATGAGACTGTTTGTCTCGAGCTTGCGCTTGTTTGGTTTAGATGGACCGGAGTGCACATAGAGCATAACCGGAAGCCAATGAGCAGAAGGCAAATGCGACAAAGGAGACGTAAGACAGTGAGACAGATGCTCTAGCTAAGTCTGGGAACTTGTCTGCTCCCCAGTTTGATTGCCAATCGTCTACACGGATTGAAGCTGAAGTCGAAGCCGATGCAAGAAGATAAGCTAGCATCTGCAACATCCAAAATCATTTTAGCGGGAATACAGTTGAATTCAAATGCCAAAGACTATAAGCCATAGCCGCATTAAAACTTTAATAAATCCAGTAGAGATGTAGCATGAATGATATGTCATCAAACAGAGACGAATACTAAAGTATATACAAGAATCAGAGAGATTTAGCTCAAATGATGAAACCGATCACATCTTTAGCTATAAATTTTCAGACTTTAAGCATCTTGCGATGTTTTATTCTTTGAAATACCATGGTATCCTTCGTTTAGTTCTCTTGAAATGGAGAAGAATAGGTAAGGTAACACCAAAACAGTACTTTGGCCTGAAACGAAGCGTGTTTGCAACAAAACAGATGATGAAAGTGACATAATAGGATCGATTTGACAAGGATGAAGCCTATCGGAATTCAGAAAAGACCAATGGGAATCACTAAAAAATCTGGTCTCATCTTTTCTTTAGTTATATCGCATCAAAGTTTCAAGCTATGATACAAAAGAACAGAGCTTCAATCATAGAGAGGCAGAAAGAACATACTTGATCAAGACCAAATTCCAAGAAATGCCGTAGGTTATGTCGTGATCTCCGGATGCTAGTAGATAAAAGGTATACAAGATCACATATCATAAAACCTGAGTAGACAAAACCAATCACATTCGCAGCCAAACAGAACCTGCAACCAAAAAAAAATAAACAGAAAACAAATCACGCCCAAGAAAACATTTACCAGTTAATATAGTAATCTAAAGAACAGGTCATTAGATAACTTCATTAGCTTAAACGACTTCCATGGCTAATTTCAAGAGAAAGCTTCAAATTCCACACAATGACTAAAACCAAATCAGAGTCATCTAACCCTAACTATTTGACCTCAGATGAAAATCAATCCTAAACTAAGTCTTATATTCCTGGTCAGTTGATAACATCATTTTAGTTTTAAACAATTTGCACAGCTAGTTCCCAGGTAAAAACTATATATATGTCACACAATTATTAGCCCAAATCAAAGTCATCTACCAAAGAAGACTTTGAGCTTAGACGAAAACCAAACCTAAACATAGTCTTAGAGGTACTAACATATCAATCTAAGAACCATTTAAAGCTGATTCTCCTCCAAAACATTTTCAAAAATGACAAGAATCAATAAACTCAAGAAAAAATTTACAAGAAAGCTTTAGGATTTTCAAAAGTAATCTAAAGACAAGCTACTATAATTAAGCTAGAACAAGTCACTACATAATCTAACGACTTCCACAGTAAATTTCAAGAGAAATTCTTCAAACTCCACATAATGTTTAGACCAAGTCAGAGTCATCTAACAAACCAAAACAAAACAGTCTCTAGGAACCATCTTCAGATATCTAAACATACTTGATCTTCAGATACTTCTTGAACATCAAATATGTAAATAGTGAAGCCTAAAAGAAAAGTTAGAAACTTTAACCTGAATTCTTTGTAATTGTAGAAAGAATCACGAGCCCATCCTTTATCTCTATCAGAAACCATAACAGAGAAGGAAACAAGACACGAAACAAACGCAGTAACCCTAAATCCAAGCAAAGCTTTCCTAATAAAACTTGCCCATTTCGATTCACGCGGAGTAGAAGAAGAAGAAAAGCTTGCCGGTCTCAATTGTCTCCTACTCTCGCTGACTTTCTTCTCCTCATCTCCGTTAGTAACCCTAAAAGGAGCCTCTGTCTTTGACACAACAGAAGGAGTTGGAATAATCGTGTGAGGAGAAGATCCATGGCTATCGGGGATTGAAGAGAGCGTTGGTGAATCTGGAGGTGGTGACTCAATTGTTGTTTGTGGTAATGAATGAAGTGATGATCTTGAAGACATCTCGAGGTTGAGATTGTTGATTTGTGAACGTGATTGAGAAGACTGGTTTTGTTCGTCTTGTTGATTCTTCTTCTTCTTCGTCTCCTTGTGAAATTTCTGAGTTTTTTCTGATTCTTCCATTTTTGTTGATATTTTTTGGTTTTAAATTAATTTAATTTTGTTTGACAGCGGAAGTGATGAAGTAAGCTCTTCTTCTTCCACTGTCTCCTCTGGTCAATGGACTCAAATGGGGAAGAAGACTAGAGAGTTGTACTTTTAAATATAAGTGTTTGCAAAAAAGGACTTAGATTCATTCTTTTCTTGCACTTTTTACCTAAACTATTGTTTATAATCCCATTAACTTTTCTTTGATCTTTTTTGTCTTATTTATTGGTAACAGTGATTAAAAATGAAATAAAAACCGGGTTTTAAAAATGAATATGGTGGAAGCCCCCTTGGCCCATTGGTTGATTAAAGGTTGATTAATGCTTCTACACTAAGAGGTCTGGGTTCGAGTCCCAGATATTGCGATTTATTAACAAATTTGCAGATTAATAGAATCAATCAACTCAAGAATCAATAGAGGCAAGTATGCAAGAGATCTCCAGCGATGTACAATTATAGCCGTGTGCCAGGATTCTACGCAGAGAAGGAAGTGTCGTCAGATCGTGTATCATTGAAGGTATTCATCAAGATCATGAAGAAGGAAGTGTAGTCTGTCGTGGATCTACTAAAGGTCGGCATAAATTGTCAGTTGTAAAATCGTCTATATAACAGTTCTCATAATTTGCAATTAATAATAAATCTACACCAAAAAAATGAACATGAATCAGCAGCCTTTTTTACAAACGAAAACGACTTTACTAGAAGGCCCAAAATGTTTAGGTTTGAGCTCATATATACTAACTGAATCACAAGTGATGATGATACCCAAGGCCCAAAGTGAGGGAGATGGAGATTTATTAGTAATACGATCAAACCCGAAAGTGGGTTGTTTCGAGAGCAGACTAAATCGGAAGCCGAGTGGTTTCCAGAGAAGCACCACCTACTTGCCATGCCGCTCGCTAGGACGCGAGATATATTATATATAAGAGTAAGGGTCAGAGGAGTGTTTGATTATGTATCCCTGGTCTGGCTGGTCTAAAAATTGAAAACTAGGAGGCCGAAAGGATCTGCCATTACTACCCACCACCAGGTATGAATCTGATCCACTTATTAGCTGCGATTCCTCTATGTATTTACTGTTTTAGCGAGAGAAGAAAACACATAAGTCATGGTGCACATAATACTAATAAACCCACCAACCAATAAAAAGCCCAGCCCAAACCAGGTTCCTTTTTTATTGTTTCTTCTATAAGTAGAAAATAGAGCTTAGGGTTATTGTATTTATAACTTGTTACTTGCTCTCAACGGACTCTTCCCGGAATATTACCTAAACCCCTCTTTTCAATCTTCTCCATGGCCACTTCTAGCAGGGACTCTAATTTATTGGGTTGGTTTTGTGTGGCTCTCTCTTATCTAATGTTCACTTACTTGGCTCTTGACTTTAACTTTAATTTAGTTCTTTTAGGTAAACGACACCCGGAAGATGATTTGGAGACCAAACAGATTCTCAAGAAACATAAGGAAACATCCGAGGATAAGGTAAACCTAAGATGGTCGGATTCCTCTTATTCCCTGACAACTATTTTCTTTACAACATTGTCTTCTAATGGCTACTTATGTATGTAACAGGAGGAGACAACCAAAGGATTTGCTGATGATAATCTCCAGCACAAGTCTGATCAGGTTTAATTTTCTTAAACATTGTACTGTTTGTTAGATTTATATTATACAAGTTTTTATGTTCAATTAAGCATCACTTGTGCTAACACATATATATATATATATATATATATATATATATATATATATATATATTTGGCTGTTAAAATTCAGGAAGCTGCCGTACTAAAAAATACGCTCTTTATTGCCAATCTCTCTCCCCAAACTATAATATCAGATATGTAAGTAGCATCACCATTAAATTCCGCTTTCCTTCTCTGAGCATGACTGATATATTTTACCCTCCACTTTTACAGAATCGATTTCTTCAAAGATGTTGTACAAGTTGTTCATGTTCGACTTTTTGTCAATCGCCGATGTAGCCATTTGTGCTATGGCCTTGTTGAGTTTGCTTCTGCTACCGAAGCAAAGGAGGTTAGAGTAGTTTATCTATAGTTATATGATGAAAAAATGTATCTAAGTAGTCATTTGAAAGTAGGGTTGCTGAATAAATCTTTTATACTGTAGGCACTGGAAAAGAAGAATGGTGAATATATGCACGATTATAAGATTCTTCTTAAAGTCGCTAAGACAGCTTCACAACCAAAGTAAATTTATTTTCCATGTTATGGATATTTGTTTCTGTGACTTATTGCCAGAGTTTTGATACAATATCACAGAGAAGACTAACGCTTTTATTTTTGTTACTTAGGTACTGCATAGATCACAAGGTTTGGTAAGGGATCTTACTTTTTGCCTTCTGAGTTTTGTTATCAAGAGCACATTGGGTGAAGTTTTTGGTATACATGTAGAGATCACTAGGTTTTTTTGAAATTTCAGCTACAAAGACTACCTTCGACGAGAAAGCCTTCCGATAGAAGAAAATGAGACACCTCCCGATTTTGTTGAGGTACCTCTTCTTGTTATCTTCAAAATATGCCAGGCTCAGCGTTTAATAAGACAACTGTTGCCACAAAGTCGAAAGATGACTTATTTAGAGGATGAATCTTCAGATGAGGCTACTTCTTGTTATTAATGCAATTTTAAGTCTTTTTCTCCTTAGAGTCGTGCTAACATAATTGGCTGTTAGTTTCAGGAAGTACTCTTTGTTGCGAATCTCTCTCCCCAAACTAATATATCAGATATGTAAGTAGCACTTTAAATTTGCACTTTCCTTCTCGGAGCTAGCAAGTTTCCATGACTGATATTTGTCCTCCACTTTTACAGCATGTATTTCTTCAAAGATGTTGGAGAAGTTGTTAGTGTTCGACTTATTGTAAACCACGAGGGTAAGCATGTGGGCTATGCCTTTGTTGACTTTGCTTCTGCTTACCAAGCAAAAACGGTAAGACTAGTTTTATAGTACTGATGAAAAAAGTATCCAAGTAGTCATTTGAAAAGTATGAAAGTACGGTTGTTGATTCAGTATTTTATACACTGTAGGCGCTGGAGAGAAAGAATGGCGAATATTTGCACGATCATCAGATGTTTCTTGAAGTGGCTAAGACAGCTCCAGACCCTCCACGATCCACGTAAATTGATTTTCCATGTTATGGAGATTTGTTTCTATAACACTTGTTGTAACTTATTGCTAGAGTTTTGATGATACCATTATTAAAAAAAGACTAACGCTATTGTTTTCGGTTACTAGGTACAACCTTGCAGAGAAGCTTTGGTAAGGGATTTAAGTATTTGCCTTCTGAGTTTTGTTATCAAGAGCACATTGGGTGTAGTTTTTGGTATACATGGAGAGATCACTAGGTTTTTTGATATTTTAGTTACGAAGATTACCTTCATCGACAAAACTTTGTGATAGAAGAAGATGAGACAGTGGAAGGACATGATGAAACTCCCGATTTTGTTGAGGTACCTGTCCTTGTTATCTTCAAAATATGTCCGGCTCAGACATTTAATAACAACACTGTTGCCACAAAGTCTAAAGATGGCTTATTCTATGCAGTTTAAGTCGTTTCTCCGATCCTTAGAGTCGTGCTAACACACTTGTCTGTTAAATTCAGGCTGTTGCTGTAAGAAACAAGACGCTCTTTGTTGCCAATCTCTCTCCCCAAACTGAAATATCACATATGTAAGTAATACCTTTAATATCCTTTTTTCGCTCTTGGAGCAAGTTTTTCATGACTAATATTATCTGCTTCATTTCTACAGCATCAATTTTTTCAAAGATGTTGGAGAAGTTGTTCATGTTCGACTTATAGTAGACTACACGGGCAAGCATGTGGGTGATGGCTTCGTTGAGTTTGCTTCCTCTAACGAATCAGAGGAGGTGAGAGTAGTTTATAGTAATGATGAAAAGTGTTTAAGTAGTCATTTGAAAGTAGGATTGCTGATTAAATCTTTTATACTGTAGGCACTGGAAAAGAAGAATGGTGAATATATGCACAATCATAAGATCTTTCTTCATGTGGCTGAAAAAGCTCCATACCCTCTACGACCCGAGTAAATCGATTTCTGTAACACTGGTTGTAACTTATTGCTAGAGTTTTGATGCCATTACATAAGACTAACGCTTTTGATTTTTGTTAATTAGGTATTGCATAGATCACAAGATTTGGTAAGGGACTTAACTTTTTACCCTCTTGAGTTTGTTATCTAGAGCACCTTGGGTGAAGTTTTTGGTATACATGGAGAGATCACTAAGGTTCTTTTATATTCCAGGTATGAAGACTACTTGCGACGAGAAAGCCTTCTGATAGAAGAAGATGAGGCAGTAGACGGACTTGATTGGATTCTTGATTTTATTGAGGTATCTGTTCTTATTATCATCATAATATGTCAAGCTCAGAAGAAATGCGTAGCGTGTAATTTATAGAACTTATTCATGGGATCAATCTATATTTTGTTACTATGCAACTTTTTCAGGAAGTTGCCGCAAGAAAAAGGACGCTATTTGTTAACAACATCCCTTTCAAAGCTAAAATATCACATATGTAAGTCGCACTTTTAGTTTTCTCCCTCGTTCTCAGAGCAAGTTTTCTATGACTGATATTTTATCCTCCATTTTTACAGCATCAAGTTCTTCAAATATGTTGGACAAGTTGTTCGTTTTCGACTTATTGTAGACCACAGGGGTGAGCATGTGTGTTGTGGCTTTGTTGAGTTTGCTTCTGCTAACGAAGTAGAAAAGGTGAGACTAGTTCTTTAGCTATGATGAAATGTCTTTGAGTAGTCATTTGAAAATTAATATACAAGAATTTATTTGAAAGTACGGCGATTGCTGATTAAATCTTTTTACGTATACCGTAGGCGCTGGAAAAAAAGAAGTATGGTGCACGTTTGCATGGTGATAAGATTTTTCTTGACGAAGCTAAGCTAGCTCCATACCCTCTCCGACCCAAGTAAATTGTTTTTTTCATATGGAGATTTGTTTCTCTAGCTTATTGCTATAGTTTTGATGTAATTACAGAAGGTTAATGTTATTCTTTTTGGTAATTAGGTACAACCTTGCAGAGAAACTTTGGTAAGGGATTTAACTGGGTGCCTTTTGAGTTTTGTTATCAAGAGCACATTGGGCGGCATTTTTGGTATACATGGAGAGATCACTAGGTTTTTGATATTCCAGGTCGAAGGTAGAAAGCCATTTGATAGAAGAAGAAGAAGAAGATGAAGAAGAAGAAGATGAAGAGGAAGAAGAAGAACAAGAAGATGATTTGGAGACCAAACCGAATCTGAAGGAACAAGAGGTACCTATCAGGGGCGGAGTCTGCGGTAAGAAGATTATCTTCTCTTACGACGACTGATAAAAGAAGATGAAGCTCTTTGGTGTTTTATTTGTTGCCGCAAGAATTAGCCACTGTCTGGCCACTGATTTTTGTTAACTGCCGTATTAAGAGAAAAGCAGCAACACAAAATCAACGACAAAATATTTTTGTGGTGGTGAAACTAGAGATTTTGGCTAAATGTTGGATGTATCTTATTCTTACTCTCTTGGTAAAATGGGACATATTTACCAAGTGGTGAGGCACAAGCAACCAATGAAAATTACGGTAAATGGAACAATTTAATAAACTCCAAAATCCAGGGGAACAATGAGGACAAACATGCATAATTGCATATGAAACAATAAAAAATAAAAAATAAGAGAGAAGAAAAAGTTTTACAATGATAGGATAGGAACTTTTTTAACAAATAAGATAGAGAAGAAAAAGTTTTACAACGATAAGATCGTTAACCAAGCTTTCAAAATCAACTTTTCTAATTGCATATGAAACAATAAAAATAAAAAATAAGAGAGAGAAGAAAAAGTTTTACAACGATAGGATCGATAATTTTTTTCGATGGATAAGATATCCAAGTCACGCAATCTTTCTTGTGATATACTCGAACGGAAATACGAACTGATTAACTTCAGATTTGAAAGAAAAAAAAATTTAGCAGATGCAACTAAAACCGGATAAGCCATCCATAAGTTTGGAAAACAATCTTCAATTGTTTTCAGAAAATCTAATACCCTATTTAATAAAAAAAACTTTGACCCCTTAATTGTTTAATAACATTCGCTTATCCGAAGGGTTAAAGTTTTGTCGGAATTATTGTTAATATCTTCTTTGCTCATATGGATCTTCTAGATCCTTCCGTAGTAAAAAGCGTGAAGCAATTTATAACGAGATCGAATTAAAAATATATATAGAAGAAACACAAAATATATTTTGAAACAAACTGAGAATTAAAGACATTGATTCGTTACCAATAACATTCAATACTGAGGACCAAAAAGTAGGTCTTGTGGTTTCGAAGTGTTTGCTTTAATAAATTGACATCTTTTTAATAAAGGAAAGAAAATCTTAAGTGGGTATTATTATATGGATTAGGTTTTCTTGACAAAGAAAAGCGACGTGAAATTTCTAGTGATGGGAGCATTCGGCAACGAAGACCTGAGTTCTTTGCCGACAAACGAACTCCGGTTCATGAAACATGTCCACGACAATGTTCATGGAAACATCTATCTCGATCCCGTTAGTTTTTTTCCTTTTTTTCTTCTCACTTTCCAAATGGTTCGGATTTTCTGTGATGTGATTATCTTCTTTGTATTTAGAGTTTTTCCAATTTGGCTTGAATTTCAATTTCTCTAAACTAGTTGATAAGTCTGTGAAATCTCATTGTTTAATTTGTTATGCAGCTTTGTTTAAAATTCATTGACACTGAGCAGTTTCAAAGGTAAGTAGTTGTTGGATTTTGCTAATTTCAAAAGGTATATTTTCGATGACTAAAGTGTAATGATTATTTTTATTCGTATTCCTTGTGGCAGGCTTCGTGAACTAAAGCAACTTGGTGAGTTTGCTTGCGTTTTCAATACAAATTAAAAAAAGCATTTATTTTAAGAAATATTTTACTTAGTTTACTATTTTATTTCTTACATGGTTATAGGAGTGACAAACATGGTATATCCAGGAGCTGTACATTCTAGATTTGAGCACTCTCTAGGTGTGTATTGGCTTGCAGGCGAAACTGTTCAGAGGCTAAAAACTTTCCAGGTATTTGGAAATCTTGTACAAATTTTAGTGGTGTAGTCACATTTTTGTTAAGTATGCTAAGGTTGTAATGTACATGTTTATAGGGAATGGAGCTTGGTATTGAAAATCATGATCTTCAGACTGTAAGACTTGCTGGTAAGTACTATTGTTAGCTCAATGACTGAATTATTCATTTAGATACAATTTCTGATATTTGTTTTGTATATGTATAGGACTTCTCCATGACATTGGCCATGGGCCTTTCAGTCATATGTTTGAGCGTGAGTTCCTCCCAAAGGTCATAAGTGGCTGTCAATGGTATGTTCAATGCCATGGTGTTACTTGATATGATACAAGAAAGTTTACTACTTTGGCTCTCTGGATTATTCATCTCTCTAGCTAGCTCTTCTTTATATGCCATTACTTATATGCATGCAGGTCTCATGAGTCAATGTCTATAAACATGATTGACCATATCGTGGATACACATCACATCGATGTTGAAGCACAAATGCTGAAAAGAGTCAAGGTTATTTTCTTCTCAAATGACCTCTTAGTCTTTGAAACTGGAAACTGTGACAATATTATTTTCAGTCTTTCAAATCTTTGCTGATGATTTTCTCAAATAACAGGATATGATATTAGCTAGTACTGAATTTTCAGAGCTCAAAGTAAGTTTTCTAACGGTCATATTCTCTTCTCTAGTCGAACATTAACTAACTACTTATACTTTGTATATATTTTCCATAATTTGTAGAGTAACGCAGAGAAACGTTTCTTGTATGATATTGTTGCTAATGGTCGTAATGGGATTGATGTGGACAAGTAATTCGATCTATTCCTTAGTTTCTTTCTTTCTTTTTACACTCATCATGATGCTTAAGAAATCAACTCAAAAATTTTTCAGGTTTGACTACCTTATCCGCGATTCTCGAGCTTGTGGACTGGGGTGCAATTTTCAGTTCCAAAGGTAGTCTTCATGCATAATACTTTATAGTCATTTAAGTTTTTGCTAATCATTGATTCTTAGAAGTTTCTAGACTGACAGAACCAATGAGAGTCATAGGCAATGAAATCTGCTATCCTGCTAAAGAATGTGAGTTTTGTCTACCTCATATAATCATATTCTGCATTTGCCTTTGCGTCTACGTAAAACCAGATGAATTGTTTTGCAGATCGTACTGTCCACAAGTTATTTGCAACTCGAGCTGATCTTTGTCGAACGGTCTACACGCATCCCAAAAAAATGGTATTGTATCATTCTCTCTGTTCCTTGTCATTATTCTCTCTCTCTTTCCCACTTGTTTCTTTCCATTCATTTGCAGGCCATAGAACTTATGATAGTAGATGCCATGGTTAAAGCCAACAATTTCTTGGAGATTTCTTCTATGATTAATGATCCTTCTCAATACTGGAAGGTACACAAATCTTTTCCTCTCTGCAGCAAAACTCTCTTGCCTATAGTTTAACATCATTTTTTGTTCTCCACAAATGCAGTTAGACGATACAATCCTCAAAAAGATTGAAATAGCTTCGGATCCAGAACTTGCAGAAGCTAAAAAGCTGATACTCCGCCTTCGCAGAAGACAGTTGTACCAAGTAATTTATACATTTTCTTGTGCTTAAATTAGATTATGAATTTCCCTTCTGAATTTTTTACTTGCAGTTCTGTAACGAGTATGCAGTACCAAAGGACAAAATCGATCATTTCAAAGCTGTCACTGCTCAAGATATCATCTGTTCTCAGGTTTGTAATCTTTTAATTAACAATTAGGAAACTATTTATATACAGTGAGGACCGTTGCCATACTTATATCACTTTTGAGTTAACAGAAGCACACAAGCTTGACACTAAAAGAAGAAGATATCGCTGTTACAAACGTCAAGATTGATTTAACTCGTGGGAGAGAAAATCCTCTTGAATGGTAAACAAACTACAGTTTAGCTTCTTTGTTTTATGATAAAACTTTTATCATTAAAGTACTAACCAACTTATCTTTGTGTTGGATCTGACTACTTGATCAGCATCAACTTCTATAAGGTACATACATACATAAAAGTCTTTGTTCTTGTTATACAAATTTGCTTCTAAATATGTGTAACAAGAGTAAAACTTGAAAATAACAGAGAGAATCTCAATAAACCAATTGATTTTATTTATGGTATTTACAGGATTATGATAGTGGCGAGAAGTTTGTGATACCTGAGGACAGAGTTAGTCACTTGTTACCAACAACATATCAAGACATGATAGTGAGAGTATATGCCAAAAAACCAGAATTGGTAATGTGATTAACTCTCTCTTTATGATTACATTACTGTTTTTTTTTTTGATTACATTACTGTTTTTTTTTATATAACCACGAAGTCACGTTTTTTTTTTGGTTTACAATACTATGAAACAGGTAGAAGCAGTTTCTGAAGCATTTGAAAACTTCCAAATGAGAACGTATGGAATCAAAACTCAAGTACTGATGGCTTAGCCATAATTCATTTCAGTTCATGGTTTTTTTTTCAGTTCAATATATATGGCAGTTTTAAGTTTTTAATTAGGTGTGAATCTTGATTTTATTGAATTTCGTTAATTAGATCTCGACAAAATTTGAAACCCAAAAGATATGTTTATTTTGGTTGATCTATTTTGTTTGTTTATTATTTCTAAACACTTGAAGTTCAAATAATATTGGATACAAACTCGTCGGAAAATCCCGACAGCGAATCCATGTGTTTCAACTACACGAGTGTGTTAGAATCTCTAAAAACCAATGTCAAAAGGATGCAAGTTGTTCAACAATCATCAAATTCTTTGAATCGTAATTTGACCAAAGATATGACAAATAGTAAACACGCATTATAAAAAAAAAAAAACAATAGGTTTTGTTTGAAGGTTAAATTAGTGAAGCTTCTGTAGTATTCTTACAAGTTACAACACTACGAAAACTCTTATGTTAGGAGTTTTCCATACATTAGCAAGAACGGGTCATGCTGCTCTAAAGAAGAACTCGATAGCTTCATTGTACTGATCCATGACAATGTTGTGGAGGAGGTGAACAGGTTCAAGGAGATTCGGGTAGCTACCCAAAATGTCGCGAGTCAAAGGAGGAGTGTCCTCATCTTTTAACCAAGCGTGCTGAGCCACAGACAAACCGCTCAGGCAGTAACATGTGTGGTAGAAGTCGCGAGGTTTCCTCGGCTTGTCTCTGAATCCACCGTCAGGGATCTAAGCATACAAGAGTGTTTGCGTGTGTTATAAAAATGTAAGTGTTAACTTGACTGGATGTTTTGTTCTGGTGGTCAAGCATCTAAGAACTGACCTTAGAGCACAAGAGTACATATCTCTGCAAGCCGAGGCTATCAAAAACCGGTTGCATTCTTCTGTTAATGTAGGTGGATGTATGATGAATTCTGTGACCATTCGCTGAATCTGCAAATACAAGCTAACTAAAATTCAGTTGTGTTTTGAATATCAGATAGTATTGATCGTTGAGAAAATTTAGTGAGTACCTTCATCATTGTCCTCATCAGAATCATCATCATCACTGTCTTCAAGGTCATCTTCATCATGAGCATGATGTTCTTCATGATCTTTATCTGTCGCTTGTGATATATGTGATGATCCATGAACTTCATGATCATTGGTTGAATATAATCTTTGTAGTAGAACACAAGGGGCTGCCTGTTTAACATATACCCAAAGGAAAAAAAGAAAAGACAACAACGGTGAAGAATGGAGGAGAATTTTGGAGTAGGGCCTATAATAATCCTAAAAGATAGAAAGTTAACCTGCCAAAATGTGTAGCAACCATCGACTAATTTGTTCGTTCTACCTTGAAATCCCATTTCTACTCCCTGTCGATGTACAGCCCAATTCTAGAATCACAAAGGAAATTATTTGGTAAGAAAAATATTTCTAAGGGAAAATAAAAGGCACTCCAGTAATCATCTCCAAACAGCATTGTATGTTACCATTAATGAATCCAAATTCAAACGGTTGACCTCATTGATTAAAATCATAGCAGCCAACCCACAGTAGGTGTACCTAAAAAAAAGAATAACTTGGTAATAAGCAAAGCTATAGGTGACAAATCAATATTTCAGGAAAATAATTACACTTAACCATCAATAACAATGTCATCAAGGAAGAGAGAAGCAGAACACAAATTTGATCAAACCCTCAACATAAAGGAAGTAAGTAGGAGACCATACCCACCGTGAGCTTCGGAGCCAGGTTCCCCTCCAATGCCACCTTCATAAGTTTGGCAACTGCTCAATATAAAGCGAGTTAAAAGAGCTTTCCAAGGGAAATCAATAAATTGATGAACTTACAACTATATAACAGTAGTTCAGCTATATAAATATATAATGCGAGATAAAAGTAATACGAAAACTACCTCAAGATGTAAACTCCTAGGCCCTGGGTGAGTTCATCATCCAAAATGTTTAGGATGCTTGCAATCTGTGTGATAAGAACAATCAAACTATCAGGGGCAAAACCAACCATGGGATGCAAGACTTGTAAGTCACAATACGAGTCATCTCTCTGCAAAGTATTTGGTGGGTACAAGTTTGCAAATAATAAGATTCATTAACAATATCCTAATGTGACGTTTAAGCCATGAAACTGTTAGAAACATAGCAAAATGGGTCCAGAGTTTGTTGATCTCATTTCAGCCTAAAAAGTTGTGGTGTAAAACTCACCGAAATTGCAGTGTAGCAAAGAAATTGAGTGTGGGTAAAACTCACCGAAATTGCAGTGTAGCAAGCTCGAACATCCATTTCTCCCATATCATGCATCCTAACGATCACTGAGTAAGTCAGAATTTTGGGCCAGGACAACAACAAATTGCTTGAAATAGAAAAGAGAAAAGCAAGAACTGAAGAACCAACATGACTGAAGTTATTATGACATTACGCAGTCAGTAGAAGTTCTGCTTTAAGAAGTCCAAAAAGAAGGAGAATCGAACCTGAAACCACCACTTGTATCCTTCATCCGTCTTAAAAAACAAGACATTTTTTCTCTGAAAGAAGAATGAGTCACAATGTAAGTATTCTAGAGGAAACATCACTAGACTCTTAATAAAAAGAAACTGACCATAAAGAAAAAAGAATGCACCACCTATTAATTGAAGAAAGGGCTTTGTGACCGCCTAAAGTAACAAGTGCATTCACTGCAGCATAAGTTGTTGCAAGATGTGGAAGCTGGGAAAAAAGATCACCATTACTAGTAGAAGAGAGAGAAGAAAAGGGAGGCTAAAAAAATTAACAACCAAAAAATTGAACTACACCAAAGAGATCTAACAAAATAAAAGGCTCTGGTCTCCATTTTAAGTTTCCAATTTCATGAAATGATAGTGATCCACACATTTTCAACAAACAGACATATACTTACTTGACCAGGACCACCACCATATCCACCATCCGAGCCCTGACAAGCGAAATGCGAAAGCAAACTAAGTACATAATGAACAATAACAGATAACAATAATAGGAACGGGAAAAGAAAACGTGAACTAAAGGAGCAGAAAAACAAGAAGAATGTATGAGCAAATATGAAGAGTTTCCATGATTGGGTACAAAGCAAAAGAAATTGAGCCTAACCTGGCAGCGTCCAAGGAAGTCGATGGCATTGTTTTCTAATTCATCATCCACAGACTCCCCAAGCAAAGCAATTGAATGAAGAATCCAGTAACAAAGCCACGGTCGACTGTTCCAAAATCCAAAAAGCCAAAATCAAACTTAATCTATTGGCAAAAATCCAAAGGTGCTTCATTCTCTCGACAATGACGGGACAAAATGAACTAACAAATTCATGAAAACAAGAAGCTAAGCGTCATGTATGATGTATCACTTACTTAGCATCTAAGGACGAAAACTGCGGACCTAGCTGCCTTAAGCCTTTCATCAGATAATCCAATTGCTTATCTCGCTGAATCTCCAACCTATAACAATAACATCCATATCAATAAGATTCATCTCTAGACGAAAATTCTTTCACAACGCAACTAAAATTCATCAGATCATGAAGAAAACTTAGAAAATCAAAATCCGCGAGCTTACAGGTATTTCTGAGTAAAAATGTCGCTGGCGTCGAAGTAATTATAGATCCCAAACACATCGTTCTCCACCAGAAATTGCTCGCGCTGACTTACAGTAAAGCTCGGAGGCTCTTCCATCACTCTCTCTGCAGCGTTGATTCGCCGTCTCCGATCGTCTGAGCCCTATCACAACTTAAAAATGCCAATTTGATTCCGGTTTGGTTTAAGATTCTTAAGAAATTAATTCACCCTCCGGTTTAATGTTAATCTGTTGCTTCTTTATTAACTAGAGACCAGAAGCACCAGCTCTCTAGAGACGTTTCTTCTTAACAATGAAACTAGCACCAATGAATAAGCTCGAAGATAAAGCCAAAACTAAACCAATCAAACAAATCTCCTGCAACCACCACAGAGAACGATAATAAGATCATCCATTACTCAAATCAAAGCATGCAAAATCACAACCAAAACACCAAATCCAACAGTCGTAAAAGCTCTAAACCAAACTCCAGTACTAAAAAGCGAAGCAATCGTAAACAAGCGACACAAGTTCAATTTTTCCAGAATTCAATTTTTCCAAAATTCAATTTTTCCAGAGACACACAAGTTCGAATCTAAAATTTCGATAATCTAACACGAACCCACCAATATGCGTATAAGAAAACACCAACCCAGACCGTTAATTAGAGACGAACACGAACACACTTCACCTTTAGGGATTAGAGACGAACACGAACACGAACCCGAACCCAAACCAATGTTCTTCCAGAAACGGTTTCCACCTTTTCCAGGTCTCTTCCAGACGAACACTGAACCTCAGATATAGAGAGAGCAATCGAACCCTTTCTTATAGCTTCTCACGATCGAAGAAGAATGAGATCGAAGAAGAAAAGAAAAGCGTTAGACGACATCGTTTCAATTAAAGAAGAGAAGAGAAAAGAAAAGTTGTGTAATAGGGCCAGCCCAGTTTTAGCCCAAAACATTTTAAGCAAAGTCCTCCTATATATAAGCTTGAAATTCTCCCATTATTTTGTCTAAGCACAAAGAAGTGAAATTTGTTGAAAGCTGTGAAAGACTTATGAAAGACATAATAATCACCAAATCAAGTTGAGACAAGTAAATTTGTGTCCCTCCGGAGATAATGGTTTCGTCAACCAAATCAGTTCAAATATACAGCTCTTACTTAGGTAAATAATGAAGGCATATAACGATTTAACACCAAACCATTCAAAATTATGCATATTCAAACTTACACTCAAGACAAAAACTTAACTAGAAGATAAGATAGAAACACCAAAGAGCTTACTCTTCTTCTGTCAGTCGTCAAAACAGAAGATAACCTTCTTACCGCAGAATCCGCCAATCATAGGTACCTCACGTTTCTTCAGATTCGGTTTGGTCTCCAAATTATCATCTTCTTCTTCTGCTTCTTCTGCTTCTTCTTCTTCTTCTTCTTCTTCTTCTTCTTCTTCTTCTTCTTCTTCTTCTTCTTCATCATCATCTGCTTCTTCTTCTACTATCAAATGGCTTTCTACCTTCGACCTGGAATATCGAAAACTCTTGTCATCTCTCCATGTATTACCAAAAACGTCTCCCAAAGTGCTCTTCATAACAAAACTCAAAAGGCAAAAAGTTAAATCCCTTACCAAAGTTTCTCTGCAAGGTTGTACCTAATTAACAAATATAATAGCGTTAATCTTCTGTGTGACATCAAGAACTATAGCAATAAGTTAGAGAAACAAATCTCCATATGGAAAATCAATTTACTTGGGTCGGAGAGGGTATGGAGATATCTCAGCCACGTCAAGATAAATCTTATGATCCTTCGAAAAATATCCACCGTTCTTCTTTTTCAGCACCTACAGTATAAGAGATTCAGTCAACAATCATACATTCAAATAATACTACGTACTTTTCAAATAAATACTTCTCTCACCTCCTCTGCTTCCTTAGCAGAACCAAACTCGACAAAGCCACAGCCCACATGCTCACCATTGTGGTCTACAATAAGTCGAAAACAAACAACTTGTCCAACATGACTGAAAAAATCGATGCTGTGAAAATGGAGGATATATAAAATATCAGTCATGAAAAACTTGCTCCAAGAACGAAAGACGAAATTAAAGGTACTTACATCTTTGGTAATGTAGTTTTGTTCTTTTGTATTTTAGTTTTGTAAGGGATATTGGAAACAAAGAGCGTCTTTTTTCTTGAAGCAACTTCCTGAATTAAAATTGCATAACAACAAAAAGTAGATTCATCCCTAGAATAAGCCATCCTTCGATTTTGTGACAACAGTTCTGTTATTTAACGCTTCTGAGCATGACATAATTTGAAGAAAATAATTAAGAACATGTACCTCAATAAAATCGAGAATTTCATCATAGCCTTCCACTGCCTCATCTTCTTCTACCAGAAGGCTTTCTCGTCGAAGGTAGTCTTCATACCTAGAATATCAGAGACCCTGTAATCTATCCATGTATAACAAAAACGTCTCCCAAAGTGCTCTTGATAACAAAACTCAAAAATATAAGCAGTTAAATCCCTTACCAAACCTTGTGATCTATGCAATACCTGATTAACAGAAATAAAAAGCGTTAGTCTTCTGTAATTTACAATAATTTACAACCAGTGTTATAGAAACAAATCTCCATGACATGAAAAATCAGTTTACTTGGGTCGTAGAGGGTATGGAGCTTTGTTAGCCGCATCGAGAAAAATATTATGATCGTGCAAATATTCACCATTCTTCTTTTCCAGTGCCTACAGTATAAAAGATTTAATCAGCAATTGTACTTTGAAATAAACTACTTTAACACTTTTCATCATTACAATAAACTACTCTTACCTTCTCTGCTTCGTTAGCAGAAGCAAACTCAACAAAGCCATCGCCCACATGCTTGCCCGTGTAGTCTACAATAAGTCGAACATGAACAACTTCTCCAACATCTTTAAAGAAATTGATGCTGTAAAAAATAGAGGATAAAATATTAGTCATGAAAAAGTTGCTCCAAGAATGAAAGAGAAAATTAAAGGTGGTACTTACATATCTGATATTTCAGCTTCGCGAGAGAGACGGGAAACAAAGAGCGTCTTTTTCCTTACAGCAACTGCCTGAATATAACAGCCAAGTGTGTTAGCCCGACTCTTAAGGAGAAAGAACACAAATTGCATAACAACAAAAGTAGATTCATCCCAAAAAATAAGTCATCTTTCGACTTTGTGGCAACAGTTCTGATATTAAATGTCTGAACCTGACATATATTGAATTTCATAAGAACAGATACCTCAACAAGACCGGGAGTTTCATCAAGTCCTTCCACTGTCTCATCTTCTTCTGTCACAAGGTTTTGTCGTCGGAGGTAGTCTTCGTAACTGAAATATCAGAAACCCTTGTGACTCTCCATGTATACCAAAAACTTCACACAATGTGCTCTTGATAACAAAACTCAAAAGGCAAAGAGTTAAAATCCCTTACCAAAGCTTCTCTGCAAGGTTGAACCTAATTAACAAAAATAGTAGCGTTAAGTCTTCTGTAATGGTATCAAAACTCTAGCAATAAGAAACAAATCTTCATAACATGGAAAATCAATTTACTTGGGTCGTGGAGGGTCTGGAGCTGTCTTAGCGACTTCAAGAAAAATCTTATGACCATGCAAATATTCGCCATTCTTCTTTTCCAACGCCTAAAGTAAAAAATATTTAATCAGCAATCATACTTTCAAATAACTACTTGTATATTTTCATCATAAGTATACACTACTTTTCAAATGACTATAAAACTAGTCTTACCTTCTCTGCTTGGTTAGCAGAAGCAAAGTCAACAAAGCCATAGCCCACATGCTTACCCTTGTGGTTTACAATAAGTCGAACACGAACAACTTCTTCAACATCTTTAAAGAAATCCTTGCTGTAAGAAGTGGAGGATAAAATACCAGTGATATAGAAAACTTGCTCCGAGAAGAAAAGTGGAAATTTAAGGTGCTACTTACATATGTAATATTTTAGTTTGGGGAGAGAGATTGGCAACAAAGAGTACTCCCTGGAATTGACAAGCCAAGTGTGTTATTAAACGACTTATAAGGAGAAAAAGACCTAAACTAGTATTGATCGTATAACAACAACAATTGGACTCTGTGGGAACAGTTGTGTTATTAAAACGCAGAGTGTTGTTTGGTCGATATTCTGAAGATAATAAGAAGAGGTACCTCAACAAAATTGGGAGGTGTCTCATCTTCTGCTATCAGAAGGCTTTCTGGTCGAAGGTAGTCTTTGTACCTGGAATATCAAAAACTCTAGTGATCTCTCCATGTATACCAAAAACTTGATAACAAACTCGAGATGCAAATAGTTAAATGCCTTACCAAACCTTGTGATCGATGCAAAACCTAAACAACAAAAATAAAAGCGTTAGTCTTCAGAAATGACATCAAATTACTCTAGCAATAAGAAACATGGAAAAGTAAATTTACTTGGGCAATGGAGGGTATGGAGCTTTAATATTCACTTGAAGAGATATCTTATGATCATGCAAAGATTCACCATTCTTCGTTTCCAGCGCCTTACATTTGTAGAAAAGATTTAATCAGCAATTGTATAAATACATTTTTTTCATCATTACTAGAAAACTAGTCTCACCTTCTTTGCTTCGTTAGCAGAAGCGAAGTCAACAAGGCCATAGCACTTCTGAGATAACTTGCGGGTTAGTCGAACACGAACAACTTGTCCAACATCTTTGAAGAAATTGATGCTGGAGGATAAAATATCAGTCAAATGAAAATTGAAGGAAAGTGGAAATTGAAGGTTGTCGTGCTTGTCTACTTACACATCTGATATTTTAGCTGCGACAGGGAGATTCTTAATGAAGAGCGTCTTTTTTATTACGGCAGCTCTCTGAATTTAACAGCCGATTTAAGAACAAGATGCTTATTAATTGAACGTAAAAAATAAAATTATAAAAATTAACCGATTTAAAAACTTGTATAAAAATTAAACCTTGATTAAATTAGCCTGATGAGACTTGAGCTGGACACTATCAGCAAATCTTTTGGTTGTCTCATCCTGTTACACAAATGTAGAAGACAATGTTGTAAAGTAAAATTGTTTTCAATGAACAAGAGGATTCCGACCATCTGAGTTTACCTTCTCCTCGGATGTTTCCTTATGTTTTTTGAGAATGGGCTGCTTGGTCTCCAAGTCATCTTCCGGGTTTCGCTTACCTTAAAAGAAGAGAAGCCAAAAAAAAAAAAAAACTCTTGAGCCAAGTAAGTTGGGGTATAAAATATTAGATCAGAGAGAGAGCCAACCAAAAACAAACCCAATAAATTGGCCATGGAGAAGATGAAAAGAGGTTTATTGTTCCGTTGAGAGCAAGCAATCATAAGTTATTATAACCCTAAAGAAGAGATCCACCTAGCCTAGTAAGAAGGTTCGAACTTATTTGTATAAATAAAACAGTGAATCTGGTTTGGGCTGGGCTGGGCTGGGCTTTTATGCGTTGCCAGTAAAAATGAAGATCAAGCAGAGAGAGAATCAAACCTGAAACCCTCGGAAGCTCTTCCATGCCGATTGAGTCCACTCCGGTCAAGTCTGAGGCCTTCTAAAATGCCAATTTGGTTCCGGTTAATGCCGCTTCGGTTTGGTTAAGGGTACCCCATAGCTACTCGGTTCAGATACGATAATCATCCTCCGGATTTTCCGAACCGTCACCATTAACCCACTTCTCCACCACCACAAGTCCACCACCAAAACAACATCTACGGATCTACCTAAAAAACTTAAAAACGAAATTTACAATAGAGCCCTGTATTTTCCATTTAATACAAAGAAACTCCTTTACTAAAACAGTATGCACAACAAACCCCGAGTTCTGTAATATATTGCCCAAAACGCTCACACTTTTACAAAAATGCTGATTTGTCATACGATCGCAAGTTTCGTTATCAAAATTCGGTCCTTTTTAAAACATACGTGCGGGGTTTTGTAAACATATTTTTCTGGTATAAAATGTATGAATTTTCATACTGATTTGGTATTCGGTTTGGTTTTAATCCAGTTTATGAATATTAGAAATAATAATGGTTTCATAAGTATTTTAAAGTTTGGACCGATCCGATGGTCGGATTCGGTTGACCGTTGAACCGGATAGTGGTACTTAAAATAATGTATTACTAGGATCGGACCCGCGGTCCACCGCGGGAGAATATTGGTTTACATACGTTGTGTTTAATATTGTGTATGTTTTTTAGTATAACGAATCGTGTAGTATACTTATAAATATTCATAATAACGAATTGTAGAGAAAATGTAAAATTGTTTATAAATATACTCATGGTATTAATTATGATTTACAAAATAGAATTTTGTGTTTTAAAATTCTAAAATTAGACGATTCATGGGAATTAGAGCATTCAAAATAGGTCAAAAACCGCGGGTCGAGCCCGCATCATCTCACTATAGGGCAGATTTGGGAAAATATATTAAACCCGCAAATAAGCGGGCCACATGGATTAATTCGCAGTGGGTCATAGGTTTAATCGGTTTTCATCGTCCGCGGGTTGGCGGATCAGCCCGCATATTAGTATTTATTGATAAAATTATAATTTATTCAACATGTGGTAATTTAAACAAATTTTTAATAGTATTTTGATTTATTTATTTATTTTAGTAGTATTTTAAATTTTGGTTACTTTAAAATTATTTAAACAAAATCCATGGACAATCCCGCAAATCCGCATACATTCGCGGGACGGGTTTGTATTTCATATATGCTACCCGCGGGTCGTGCGGACCGACTAACTACAAGTCAAAATATTTTTTTGTCTATCGCAAAACAGACTTAACAGGACGAATCAACTCGCTTTGACAGTTCTAATGGGAATATTATTTAGTCATACAACAAAATGAAGTTTGGACATAGTAATAATATAATATGTATCTTATTTGTTAGATGAGAGATTGAAAGATGAAGTATAATGATTAAAAATTAATTATTATTTTTCATGATTCACAAAATTTAATAAATACTTATCATCTTGTTGAATAATTCTAAAATCATATTCAAGAAATCTTTATAAATTGAAAATTAAACTTCTTTGGTAAGCTATAGGTATGAAAATATCATAATTTTGATTTAATCTAATTAAATTAAAATTAGTTACATGGATTTCATATATATTTAATTTACATGACCAAAATAAAAATATCTATTTAATTTACACGATCAAAATAAAAATATCAATTTAATTTATAAAACAGATGGGTTATTTGTGATAAATTTTCTAGAAATCTTTAGAAGCAAATAAAATATCTTTCAATTAATGATAATTGGCTAAAATGAGCGAAATTAATAACAAAAACGTTGATTGTTATGGAATTAGTCCCATTAATATATGAACAAATTTATTATACGTAATTAATGTATAATATTGTTTGGAATATGCTTTTATTATTAGTTACCATAAGTACAATCAGATTTTATTTGATTTCCATAAATATTTGATTTTATTTCGATTTTTCATTATTAATTCGAATTTATATTCCAAAAAAATTTCAAAGATCCGATTTCAGAATTTCGGGTTAATTTTCTGATTTTAACCCGACCCATTTTCATTTGTACTTCTCTTTTAATAGTATAGAGATGATACCTAGAATAAATATATTATAGAAAATTAATTACTTAAAAAACTTGATAAATTTATCTAGATTAAATTAAAGCAATTATTCTACAAACATAAATTTACTTACATCAAATAAAACACATCAAAATAATGCTATTTTCTGAAAATATATTTATCTATGATTATACCATTGGTTTAGAAGGCAACACCAAATCACTACCATTGGATTTAGTCGGTTCTATCTGAAGCTCATTTATAAACTCTTGAAAACCAGACTTTTGCTACCTTACGCTATTATTCCCCCTTTCGTTCCGAAATTAGGGCCTCTGGGTTTCGCAGTGCGCTCATTCAATCCTAGGTATCAAAAATCTGTTGAATTTGATGATTCAGATTGAAATTTAGTGTCTCTCGAGCTCGGATTTACGATTTTATATTGGTTCGATGCATCTGCGGTGATGGTTTCCTTAGCTTTGGTCTTTCCGATTAATTGCTTCCTTGTTTCTGAATTAGCTGAGTGGCGTTTGACTGAAGATTTACTCTTCTTTGGGGTGTTTTTTTTCTTATGGGTCTTGAGTTAGTGAAGTGTTATGTTCTTGTTGTATAGTTTCTTACAGGTTATGCTCAAAATTTGTGGGTTCTTTGTCCCTTTTTTTCACTTTGTAGTTTGAAAATGTCTCGGTATGATGATCGCTATGGGAACACTCGTCTTTATGTTGGCCGGTTATCATCCAGAACTCGTACCCGAGCCCTTTAACGTCTATTTAGCAGATATTGAAGGTAATGAGTCTTCTTTTCTTTCATCGGATAAGCAAGAAGCTTTGTATGGAAAAAAAAAAAAAAAAATTAGTGAATTTGCTTTTATTTCTCTTATTATTTTTCTCTCTTATTATTTTTCTCTCTCTTAGAAACTAAAACCAATGTGCACGTGATGATCATGTTATTGTGATATGTAGTATGCTTCTTGTTGTTACAGTTGTAGACTAATGTACTTGTAAGTAATTTGTATATGTATATGTAATGTTTTTAGAGTGTGAAAAATAAATGTTGCCTTCGAAAAGATTTTGTTCTGATTTTAGTTGATTTTATCTAATGTCTCTGCTAAATTATATCCCATTATGCAAGATGGATCAGAGTATTGAAGTAGTCGTATCATTTGGTAAGTTTTTAATGATTTCAAACATCTCATTACATTGGGTTTTGAGCTCACATCTCAAAACTTTGTCATTTTTTTGTGACCGATTAAAGAAGCTGCTTGATCTTAAGATCAAGAAGGTCCTTATGGAACAAAGGTTAGTTTAGTTTCTGTTAATACATATAAATATGTTGCGACTCCACAATAAATAATGTTCATCACTAAAAATCTTTGGGTATATAAGTGAAGTAAACAAAAACATTTCACTGAACCATATCAAAACTATAAATAAAACAAATAAAAAACTTCCTTTAAGAGAGAAGAGTTGAGGCTGCTATTTAAGTATTTGGTTAAGCTTTTGCTTAGATAATTTAATTGAAGGATAATCTACTGTGTAAAAAAACCAAAAAAATCAAAAAATAACAAAACAATAGAGTATGAAATTGTTTTCATTAAAACCAGAAATGATAAGACAAAGAAACTTCCCATTTGTGCATCATATATGAATACACTCGTGCAAGTTATAGATGGATGAAAGTGTTTGAACAACTCCTGAGACAAACCATATATAGACCAGAGTTATTAGTATATACTCCTAACCTGAAATTAAGCCAACCATAGACCAGAGTTATTAGTTATTACACTGTGACTTATTCCAAAGCAAAGAGTGATTTACCTTATTCACAGCCTTTATCACTCAAGGTTTGAAACACCTCTTTGAAAAAGAGATTACAATTTTTCTTCCCATCTATGAAGATGGTCTTTAGCCCATGTGACTCTAGAGACTGCTAGAGAGAGTTTTAAAAATAATATTTAGGAATATAAACAACTTTTAATCATTTTCCACGATTTAGTCTTAGCACTTTAGAGTTTGTAAGAAACCTCATTAGATTGATATATCTCAGTGATGGACTCCTTTTGTGGAAGCAGAAGAAAGTAGTCTTCTTACAGCACCACTTTTTCTTCTTCTGGCTTATTTTCAAGAACATGTTAGAGCAAGACCGTCTTTTGATAACCTATGATATAAATTGTTGAAGTACATATTAGAAAACTTGTTGATCTTCAAGAAATGAATTAAAAATCTAACAGTTGCTCATCTATACTAAATGTTTCGAGACTTACAATTGGTTTACTTGTCTTCTTTAAGAATATCTACACAACACATCAAATGTTTAGTATACTCACGAATCATAAAAAGTGAACTTTCATATATCAAAAAACGAAAACAAAACACATAATCAGTACCATTTCTATTGTTTCACCCAAAAAAAAAAACAGAGTATTGTATAAGTCAGAAACATTCATAAAAGTTGACATGAGAAAAAAGATAGATACTAACAAAGGATACTTAGGTTTAATATACCTAAGGATTTTTGATATCGAAGTAATAGGTGGTTTGGTTTGTGAATCAAGAATGATAAGAGTAGTACATATTTATAAGGAGGTTTAGTCGGCTGATATACACAACTTAGCAATTATGGTGGTTAACGACGTTTTAGGCCATACATTAGATTTTTTTTTTTGTTTTTATATATTTTAAGATTCATATATAGAGTTTTTTGTTAATAATTAGTAAGATTTGTAAAGATTGATCCTACAAAAAAAAAAGATTTGCAAAGATTGAGATTTTTAGTTCAATATTACTCGCAAAGGATAATATTCTCCAAAATGTGACAGACCAAGAATATACTCTTTTTGATTGAATTTAGATTTTTTGGAAAGTGAATACGAACAAAATTTGTTATCACCTTAATTAGAATTCGAAATTATAGGGATTACGATTGTTTTGGTAATATCTTTACTTTTGTTTTATGGAAATTTTGTAACAAACTGGACAGTTTCCAACCGTCTGATCGATTATATGATCCGTGATCCGGAAATATGCCCAGGATCTGCGTAAATAACCGATCTAGGTGCCCATGATCCATGGTTATTTTGCTTTTAAATTATGATTTTGCCCTTCAACGATTTTTTTTATTTACTCTTTGATTGTAATTATCCTAATGGCATTTTTTGTAATTTTTTACCCTTCATAAAGTTATTTATTATCCAATGCTTCCCAATTAATAGTATAGATTTTACTTTATGCAAATAAGTGAACAATTGCGATTTTAAAAAATGAAAATAGCATATCAAAAATAAAGTCGTATAAATCTACTGTTAACGGAATTCAAATCCAATAATTTAACAAAAAAAAAAAGGATTTTCCTAAAAGTTGTTGTAAACGTAAAAAAAAAATAGTAAATAAAATTAATATCACAAATTATCTTCTACTAGCTAGAATCAAAATCAAAATGAATGAGCATATGCCATATCCGTGTAATCCAGTTTACTGTCATTATATTTGCCAAAAAAAAAATAGAATTTGAGGTTTTGATCAAGTAATTTTAAGTACATGTATTTATTAGAATATAAGAAAAGTATAGGGGTCTATTCGGTAATTTCCTTTTATTTAAGGTTTAATGGAATATTAATCGCGTAAAAACGGCAAAAAGGCATTTATACTCTCTCCTCTCTCTCTCTTTCTCAACTTGTGCAGCTTAAAATCGCTTTCTCAATTCTCGTCGTTGTACCATTTCGGTTTCTCTCAACGTAACTGCATCACGGCGGCGATTGTGTGAGTTCGACGTGAAATTTCAACTGATGGGAGCGTATTGCAACGAAGACCTAAGTAGTTTACCGGTGTTCTCCGCCGGCGCTCCGGCGAACGAGCTCCGGTTCAGCAAACATGTCTACGATAACGTTCATGGAAACATCTATCTCGATCCTGTAAGTAATTTCTCTATCTCTTCTTCGTTTCCTGTTTCCGTCTTTTCTAATGGTTCGTTTGCGAGATAGAGGAGTTTCCGAATTCTTCTATCTACGACGCTCTGAAACTGTTTCTATGGAGATTTTTCTGTTGAAATTCCGGTGCCGTTTTGTTCTAGTTGGAATCTGGATGATATCGTCGTGTATCTTACATTTGTCGCCGTGATTTCACCGGAATTTAATTGAACTGTCGTAGTTATGGATAGATTAGAGATTGTTGTTTAGCGGAAGATTAAGAAATGTATGACTAATTTAGTGAATGAACCGCAAAATTCTACTGGTGGCTTTTGATAGAATTGAGTCTTCTCTGATGCGATTCTTGTTTGTATTTCTGTTCTTGTGTGTCGCATGAGTTTCAAAATTCTCTAACTAGTTTTCTATTGACTTAATATGTTATCTATACTAATCGTTCACTTTTGGTTTGCAGCTTTGTTTGAAATTCATTGACACTGAGCAGTTTCAAAGGTAAGTTGTTGGATTCTGCTCATTTCCATGGTTATAATATTGATGACTACAGTGTTCTTATTCTTCAATCTAATTCCTTGTGGCAGGCTTCGTGAACTAAAGCAACTTGGTGAGTCGGCTTGCGTTTTTAACTCATGTTGCCCTCTCCTCTTGTTTAACAAGGAAGACGGACTTGTTTTGTCTGTTTTTTTTTCTCTCGATTAAGAAGCATTTATCTTGAGAATCAATAGAAATGCTAGTGTTGAATATAGAAAGTTTTCCTTGCGTCTTGAGTGGTGTATCTTCTTTCTTTGAGAATTTGTTTTTACACTGTTCAGGAGTGACAAACATGGTATATCCTGGAGCTGTACATTCTAGATTTGAGCACTCTTTAGGCGTGTATTGGCTTGCAGGCGAAACTGTTCAGAGGCTAAAAAGTTTCCAGGTATTTGAAAATTTTGTATCAAGTTCAGTGGTACAGTCACATTTTCTTAAGTATGGTAAGGCTGTAATGTACGTTCTTAACTTTTAAAAGGGAATGGAGCTTGGTATTGACAATCATGATCTTCAGACTGTGAGACTTGCTGGTAATTATTGTTAGCTCAATTACTACATTATTCCTTGATGCAATTTCTGATATCTGTTTGTATATGTAGGACTTCTCCATGACATTGGCCATGGGCCTTTCAGTCATATGTTCGAGCGTGAGTTCCTCCCAAAGGTCATAAGTGGCTGTCGTTGGTATGTTGCACATTCCTTGAAATGATCATTGCCATGATGTTACTTGATATAATACAAGACATATGCCTTAAGTCTACTACTTTGGCTCTCTGGATTATTCCTCTCTCTAGCTCTTTATATGCACATTCCTTGAAAAGATCAATGCCATGCATAGTGTTACTTGATATGATACAAGAAATATGCCTTAAGTTTTAGTCTTTTCGCTCTTTAGATTATCCTTCTCTCTAGCTCTTTATATACCAGTTCTTCAATGCAGGTCTCATGAGTCAATGTCTGTTAACATGATTGACCATATAGTTGATACACATCACATCGATATTGATGCACAAATGCTGAAAAGAGTAAAGGTAACTTTTTTCTTAAAACTGTTTTGCTTGTCTCAGATGGCATCTAAGTATTGGAAACTGGAAACAGTGACATTAGTTTTTACAAAGCCAATCTAATACTTGTTGCTTCCATTCCCTCTTTACTGATGATTCTCTCAAATATTTACTTAACAGGACATGATACTAGCTAGTACTGAATTTTCTCAGCTGAAAGTAAGTTTTATAAAAGGCATGTTTTCTATTCTAGTCAAACATGAACAACTACTTATGCTTTGTATATATTTTCCCTTTTTCATAATCTTCAGAGCAACGCAGAGAAACGTTTCTTGTATGACATTGTTGCTAATGGTCGAAATGGGATTGATGTGGACAAGTAATTCTTTACTTGTATACTTATCTCTGCAGTTTTTTTCTTCTACTTTTCACTCATCGTGATGCTTAGATTTGCACCTTTGTCTTACAAAGTCAACTTTTAATTTCTACAAAATTTTATAGGTTTGACTATCTTGTCCGTGATTCTCGAGCTTGTGGTCTGGGATGCAATTTTCAGTTCCAAAGGTCTGCATACTACTCTATAGTAATTTCAGTTTTTGCTAATAACAAAATTACTAATTATCAGAAGTCTGTAGACTGACAGAGACAATGAGAGTCATGGACAATGAAATCTGCTACCGCGCTAAGGAGTGTGAGTTTTGTTTCCACCTGATATTCTGTATTTGGTTTTGCTTATATGTCCTTGTAAACCCGGATGAATGTTGCAGATCGTAATGTCCACAAGCTATTTGCGACTCGAGCTGATCTTTATCGAACTGTCTACACGCATCCAAAAGTAAAGGTATTGTATCGTTATTATTCTCTCTATTCCTTCTTTATTTTTCTCTCTTTCCCACTTGTTTTTTTCTCCATTCATTTGCAGGCGATAGAGCTTATGATAGTAGATGCCATGGTCAAAGCTAACGATTTCTTGGGGATTTCTTCTTTCATTAGTGACCCATCTGAATACTGGAAGGTACAGTCCTCCTCAAAAGACAAATCTTTCCCTTTCTGCATCAAAATTCTTTTTCCTGTTTACATAGTTTTTGTTCTTCACAAATGCAGTTAGATGACACAATCCTCAAAACCATCGAAATAGCTCCAGATCCAGAACTTGCAGAAGCTAAAGAGCTGATACTCCGTGTTCGCAGAAGGCAGTTGTACCAAGTAATTATACAATGTTACGCAGTTTCTCCTTTTTTATGATTAATTAGTTTAGGAATATCCTTCCTGAAGAAAGTCCGGTATGAATTTTTACTTGCAGTTCTGTAACGAGTATGCGGTTCCAAAGGACAAGATCGATCATTTCAAAGCCGTCACTGCTCAGGATATCATCTGTTCTCAGGTTTGTGATCTTGAAAACTTAATAAGAGGAAAACTATATTTCACAGTCCATTGCCATACTTATTATCAGTTTTGATTTAACAGAAGCACACAAGCTTGACACTAAAAGAAGATGATATCGCTGTTACGAACGTCAAGATTGATTTAGCTCGTGGGAGAGAGAATCCTCTTGAATGGTAAACAAACACTACATAGCTTCGTTGTTTAATCTCAATTTAGCTAATTAAAATCTAACCAACTTATCTATTTTTGTGGGTTTTGTCACAACCAGCATCAACTTCTTTGAGGTACTTGATAGTCTCTGTTCTTGTTATACATATTCGCTTCTAAATGTGTAAAAGGAGGAAAACATGAAAATAACACAGGGAATCTCTTTATGGTATTTACAGGATTATGATAGTGCAGAGAAGTTTGGTATACCTGAGGACCGAGTCAGTCACTTGTTACCAACAACATATCAAGACATGATAGTGAGAGTTTATGCCAAAAAACCAGAATTGGTAATGTGATTATTACTCTCTTTATGATTTACATTACTGTTTATTTTTATCGGTACACAAAGTAACGTTTTAATTTTTTGGTTTTGCAATATTTATTAACAGGTAGAAGCAGTTTCTGAGGCGTTTGAAAACTTCCAAATGAGAACGTATGGGGTCAAAACTCAAGTACACGCAACACCTGAGAAAAAGAAAAGGCGTGTGATGTAATTACCGTGGCCTTTAATTCATTTCATTTCTTACGGTTTTATATTGGTGTTTAGCGTCTTGAAACTTTAAATACGGATATGTATATAATCTCTACTTCTCTAGCATGCGTATAGACTTACGATATCGAAGCCTTGGATTTAGACCAGCCTTTATACGTAAGAGAAAAGGAAAAGCAAGACACCATTTTCTTAAGATTTCGGATTTCGTACGGTTTTATTTTAGTCTTTTTTTAGTCACAGCTTTGCAGATTGTGGTTTATTTTCTTTTCACATGGAAGGAAAGAACGACTTTGACATTTTTTTCATCGGATATTATTTTACTCTAAAATGTTGGAGAATCATGTCATGTTTAGCCTAAAACAACTTTGAGAAACAAAGTGTTTTGTTGTTTTTATGGATTTTTTTTTCTTTTTTATTTCTAATGCGTTATAGTCAAATCTGCAATTATTTTAAGGTTGTGGGGAAACTCTATTAAATATTAATCATCCTGTCGTTACAAAATTTTGTAATATTTATTGTTTGTTTGATTTAAATGTTAGTTTTGCCCTACTCAATTTCATTATTTTATTTATTTATTATCAACTGAAATATTTATTTTTTTAATGACCTAATTCAGTTCTCATTTCTCAATATGATAAAAAAAAATTAAGCATTTGTATAACAAGTTGTGAAAAAGTATTGACCAGGCATTTGCTCCTGAAGTAAAATCACAAAATCAAGAAACGAAATGCATCAAAACATTGACAAAACAAGCTATAACATTAAAAAAAAACAGAAAATTTTAAAAATATCCAAAACATGATATCTAGTCCACAATGTTTCACGCCAATAAAAATGGATTAAATGAATATATAAATCTTGACAAATCTACAACTCACAATCCAGAAACACATGGTGTTGGATTATGTTTGAGCTTTGTATAGCTTTATACTTAATCGTGTCGACTCACTTGCAGTGCACCAAATAGTCTCAGTCTATGACATTGCACCTATCTCATTAGTTGCAACAACTTCTTCGACAACAGTTTTTTCACCAAAATCTAATAGAACCTTGAGAAGCTTCGACCTAGGAATCGCAAGTGCTTTGTCTCCTTCCCGGCAATTTTTCTTCAAGAAATTGTAAGCATGGTTCACTATAAACTTCTTAAATAAAGAAGACTCTTTCTCCGCCGTTATCTCCGTCTCTCCCATTAAAAACTAACCCCCAAAATTATGTTGTCAAATGCCCTTGAAACATCAAAGCATGTGCCACATTCAAATTATGATGATGTTTTCTTTCAACCCTTCGGTTTTTGCTAAGGTGTTCAGACACAAGTTGTTTGATGAACTATCCCTTTATGAAGAATTTGTTTTTAGTTTTATGAATTAGCTGCCATTAATCACTGCACACGTTTGTTGAATTGTCATGAGAAAAAGTTTGAGACAGTTTGAGAGTCTTGTAAAGTGTTTTCATAAATAAACAAAAGCCATGAAATTTTCTTGTGTTTTGAACTTGGTGTTCTTTCCACACATTTCTTTTTAAGATTTGATATAATCTTTCCACACATTTATTTTTAAGAATTGTGTTTATATATTTCGCGATTTTAATATATATGCCAACTAAAATACATGTCATAGGAAACTATTCCTACTTTAATAGTGTCATACCACAAATTAATAAAATTTTAAAAGTATAAAATTGTTGGATATGACTTAAATTAGATTGGGCTCATATTAAAGTCATATCCCAAAATAAAATTTAGAAATATATATGGATTTGATCAGTTACATAAAGTGGTTATGGTATGATGTGTTTAGTGTACAGTGGTATATGTTTTATAGTTGTAAATGATGGAAATATGGTATTTCAGAGATGTTTTTTAAGAAAAAAATTGACAAGAAATGAGCAAAACATAAGCAAAACATGAATAACAAAAATAATAATAGATAACAAAAATAAAAATGACTATTATCATTTTACTTAATTGTTTTTGCTTTTGTTTATCGTCTTAAGATTCTTAATTGTAAGTAATAATAAATATAAATAGGTAACTATATTAAATGAGTGTTTTGAATAGACCTAAAATCTTTAATGTAAAAATTTGTTTAGCACTTTAGCTTAGGTGGAAATTATAGGAGAAAACTGTTTAATAGATTGTTAAATTGGACATGTTGAACCTACATAATACTCATCATTGGACAAAAAATTGAATTCCTTCATACATTTATTGTTTTAAGAAAAAGTTAGCTAATTTGATATACTAGATAACAATCTAGTCAACTTAATTATTTGAATAGAAGATAACAAAAAAAAAAGAATTATTTGCCACAGAATCTTTGTAGTTTGAAAAACCTATTTCAATTCTCTATATGATAAATTATTTAAATATTTATTATAACTTAGTTAAGAAAAAGCATTGACTAGGTCCACCACACGGTCCACACATAAGAACAAAGAAACAGAATATGCATCTAAAACATAAATAAAAATAGCAAAAAAAATCCAAAACTTGATATTTTCCGTCAAAACGTTTCACACAACAAAAAAAAATGTAGTAGAAAAACAAATCCAGACAAATCCTCAAAATCCAGAAACTAAACAATTGAAAATTCTACCAAAATAAAAAAAAAACAGAAGCCTAAAACATACACACAAATTGTGTATGTAATGTACGTAAAAAGATTGAATCCAAAGAATTGATTCTTCAAACCCTGTTCGTTGCCGGAATCTCAACTTCTGATGGCTTCACCGTCTTCTCCTTCTTTGGAGTTGATTTGTAGTACATAAAGTACACTATCAACTGAGAAAGGGCCAAAAACGTTCCAATCCCATTACTTGCCTGTAATTTTATTTAAAATTAATTAATCACACAGTAAATCAAAACCATAGTCAAATTTCTTACAAAAAAATAATAATAAGTTTTGTTTTATATACAGAAGAGAACTTACGAGGACGTAGTAATCGATCTTGAAGATGAGCGAGTAAGAAGTCCAAATTGCAGCATTAACGAAACAGACCAAAGACAACAAGAATGGCATGTATTCAACACTCTTTGTTTTTACCACTGTAATCTGTTAATTAACAACAACAACAACAACAGTATCAATCAATCAATCAATCAATTAGAGACAAAAATACTAATTAAGGAAATCAAGAGAGACTTACAATGGCCAATGAAGGAGATGCATACATAGCAATGTTGAAGATATCGCAAATAATACCAACAAATGTTTGCTTAATGAAATCATTCTTAATCACGAAGAGCGTAATAAGAACGATAATCGCAACAGAAACAACTTCACCAAGTAAGTATAGCAAAATCTTCTTCTGCAAGTATACAAAACAACATCACCATAATGTAATCAGAATTAACCAAACCAATTAATTATGATTAATTAAGGCTTAAATAAATAACTTACACGATAGTTCTGCTTGTGACCACAGTACATCAAGTAGACACCAACGTAGAAAAGTTCGATGACTAACCCAACACCATTAATGGTAGACACTAGATAACTATCTTTGTGAACCACAGGGAGACCGTAAAACACCCACAACATACAATTCATCACCGTTGCTACGTATGGCACATACGAAAACTCCTCCACTGATTTCTTCTTGAAGATCCTCCAAAACGTTTTCCTATATAACCAATACAACACAAGACATAATCAAATTGTTATAATTCATATCTACAATAATCCTAAATAAATATTAACCACCACAATTCAACACATATCACACACATTATCAAATAACTCTCATCTACAATAGTCCTAGAAGTTAACCACCATAACACTATACATTATATATTGACTAAAGCATCTATTATTAGCAATTGGATTAGGTTTGATCTCAAAACTACATAAGATTATATAATATGTAAATCCATAAACACACACATATATCATGATTATATGATTAGTGATGCAAATTATAAAGAGGATTAAAGAATCTTACGCTGGTGCGGCAAAGAGGCCAAAGGAGATAACATTCCCTGCGTTACAATTACAAACGAGAGATAAATTTTGTTAATCACATTGAGATTTTTTGCTAATTAATCACATAAAACACAGATCAAATAAACATCCACCATTAGAATCAAGCTTAAACACACACAAAAAACATGAGCGATCATCGATAAATCTTCCATGAAAAAAGCTTCGGATTGAGATCGAAGAAAGAATCGAGGTCAAAAACACAACAAATATGTGAAGGATCGTGATCAATAAAGCTAAAATCAGTTTCGAATCATAAAACTCAAACACATCAAATATAGATCAAACATGAGAGATCGATAACAAATCCAGAGATAACAAAAAAGCTTCGGATTCAGATCAACAATGTATACGACGAAGAATCGTTAGTACGACGTGAATCAGAACGACGAAGAAGCAAATCGATAGAGAAGGAAGAGTCTGTTACCGATAACTCCGATGATGAAACGAACTTGTTTCGCATCAACCATTGTGAAATCGCCGTAAAAAGAGAGAGAGAGATTGAAGAAGAGCGCTAATGAAGAAGACCAAGTGTAGAAGAAAACCTAATCGAGAGCGTTTGGGAATTGTGTGTGTATCTCTCTCTATATATATAGAGAGATAGAGAGAGAGAGAGAGAGAGAGTTATTAGGAGATTAAGATAAGATAGACGTTTGAGTCAAGGAGTCAATATTCTCCTTAACTTGGGGAATTATCAAAAATATTAAATTCCCTATAAATTCTATTTGTCTGTTATGACTTTCTTTTATATTTTTTGTTCTTAATAAACGAATAGTTAATTTAACATTGATTATCAAGGGCCATTTTTTTTGGGAAATTATCATTATCTTTTCTTTTTTTTGGTATTATCCAGATTATCATTGTCCAAAGACTAGTAGATTTTGACCAAAGATTATCTTAAAATGCTATAAAATCGGATTTATGGTATAATATCTGATTTTCTGCAAATAAAGGATAAAAATTTAATGTCTTTTGACACAAAGAAGAATGTACAATGTCTAATACGTTTTTGATAAACCATAATATTTTAAAACATTTACATTACTTGAAAAAAATTTATACTCGGTAAAAAAACTAATGATATTTTTATTATTATTAATATATATCTTTGACTATGAAAACTTAATAAACGTATATTAAGAGTTTATATGTTCGTTTTTAATACAGTTTTAAGATAAATTTTGCTTGAAGTGTATGGATAAGCTTGAAATCTGAGTAAAAACTTACATTAATTAGTCGTTTTAATTTGTTTCTCTGATAATTAAAAAGATTCTGAATTTTTCAGAGTGGTCGTGTGTTCAAAGTTTTCCGTTACGTCCGTACTAGTTGTTACACGCCACGTCAGAATTCTGTTTCTTAAAATTACTAATATGGTCTTAGTCTTTTACGTAATTACGAGCTTTGCCACCAATAGTACAATTCACGACAAACACATGCAAAATCTACGAGCGATATCGAGGGACTTGCTGGCCACGGCAAATAAACCGGATGGTTATTTCCATTTTATTTATATCGGTTTAGATATACAATTCCGGTTTAGTCGTAAATGCAAACGCTTTACTGTTTTAGGCTTTATCCTGAGGTCAAATCCCTTATATATTAATTGAGAATATTTTTTAAAAAAAACCTTTATCTTCATGTGTGATTAATAAAAACGCCATGCTGACGTGTCGTTCTCTCAGAGCTTCTCAATTTATTTAATTAAAAACCCAACATTTATTAAGTTATTTACAGATTTTGTCATTAGTTTTATTTATATTTATTTTTCCACTTAATTTATGTTTTTTATTTTATTTAATTAATTAAAACGAAAATATAATTAATTAAAACAAAAATATATTTAAAATATGCAATTAAGATATACAAATCTATACAAAATAGAGTACCTAATATTTTGTATATTGATTAATATACAAAGAAATATATCATTAATTATGATAAACATAAACATTAATACATAAATGAAATTTCACTAATCTTGATAATCATTAATATACCACCGTTTATCTATCTAATAATATAAAAATCGAAGACCATCAATATCATCAATACATTAAAATTGGTTAATAATCGTTTTGTCCCGTACATAGTGCAGGTTGTTATCTAGTTCTTTATTGTTTGCGTAGAGTATAACAAGATTTACGTTTATTTCCAAAACTACAAGAATCATTAATTCACACGGACATAGATTTAGAAGATTTTACATTTTAAAGCATTGCATTTATTGTGGTCAAATTCACAACATTAATTAGAGTGTACATTACTCTTCTGCGTTATATTTCACCATATGTATGTATATAACAATATTTTCCACATAACAAATATTTCTATAATTTGACCCCAAAACAAAAATATTTCTATAATTTTTATATTAAAAAAAAACAAATATTTCTACAATTCTTTTTGATAAAAATGTAAAATGTCATTGTAAATGAAATTTTTTGGTTTTATCAATTGATTAATAAACTGCGAAACCTATTGATTTGTTCTATGTCAAAAGAATAAAAACATGGAAGCAAATATAGAATAGAGATTTGTATGAATAAGAATTCAAGATCAACAAAGAAAAACTCACTTTATTATGCTTAAGAAACTAACTCAAAACTTAAGCTCTTGTTCTCTCTTAAACCACACAACTCTCACACAAATAGGTCATGACTCAACCTATCTATTTATACAAGAAACTCAAATCCTAATCTCACCAGGATTATGTATATATTAGATAACTCCTAATATATTTGATATTATCCTCTCTAAACCATAATTCGGTTTAGTTGCTTCCCGTACAAGTTATCTTCAAGCTTACTCCAACAGCAAAGACAACTCTAAAATTCAGTGGGTGATTGGTTGAAGCGTAGTTTTAGATTTATTGCTTAAAGATTTTTGATTTTTGTTGTAACTGTTTTAGCTCTAATTGTAGAATTTTTGTTATAATTTTGTAGGCGGTAACTTGGATATGTAACTTTCAATTATATATAGTTTAAAATAAAAACATGATTTATAGTTATATAATTTATATAAATATATCGTGGGACTTGCTGGCCACGACAAATAAACCGGGTGGTTCTTTCAACTTTTTTTTTATATCGGTTTAGCAAAACGATTCCGGTTTAGTCGTAAATGCAAATGTTTGAACTAACTAAATACGAAATAAAATAAAAATAGAAAATAGATATTGTAGTGCGTGTTGCAATCCTCCACTTTGTTAAGAATATGGATGTAAGTATGTAACCCCTCATCGTCTGTCTTCCTACAATCATCAATAACTTGACTCTTTGAAATCCATTATGGCTTCTTTGAAGTCCACCCATGAGAAGACCCATAGGTGGACTAAGACTGCCACCAACCTCGTTGTGGCTCAATTGTTTGGTTTCTTGGCTCAGCTTCTCATGCCCAAGATCATTGACTTCGGTTCTGCACAAGTTTCAAGTATGTTTGAGAGTTTTCAACGCAAGGACAAGGAGAAAGATCATCCTTTCCTCTCCCAATCTTTGGAGGAATTCAAAGAATCTTACTAGGACAGGAGCCAAGACGCTATGAGCTAAAAAGAGAGAGTCAAAAACAGTCACAAAGAACAAGCATCATCAAGCTAAACATAGGTACGACAACAAAGATAAAACATGAGAGATCTATATAAACAAAAGCATTTTAGGATCAGATATTGTTTGAAAACACCTAACATGGAGTTCCTAAATAAGAGGGTACAAACATAACATTAAATTTTCACTCATGCTTCTAATCACTCACCATTAGAGTATAACACAAAACATCAAGGTTTACTCATGCTTCTAATCACTCTCAAGATCAGAGAGACTAACCGGTTCAAAACATAGAGAAGAAAGAGTTACTAATGGGAGATCATGATGTGAATTGAATATTTAAGATAGAGAGAATTTAATGTAGTGACCAAAGAACCAAACCATTTTCAAAACATAAAATAGGATCATATCATATGCTTAGTGAGAGCCGTCCCTAACAAGATGAAGGCCACAAGCCCAAAAAATAAATATGGGCTACTAATAGTTGGTTTACAAAATATGTAAAAGATTTGTATACAAAATATGAAAAAGAAAGCCACCTCATAAAATCCATTATATGAAACCCAAAAAAATAAACATAAAGATAGCATCAAATCACATAAACCTATTTGCAGTCATAACTAAAATTGTCAAAATTCTGCAACTTGATTTCAAATTGGGTCATGACAATTAGAGTATAACACATAACATCGAGGTTCACTCATGCTACTAATCACTCTCTAGATCAGAGAGACTAACCGGTTCAAAACATAGAAAAAAAAGAGTTAGTAATTATCTAGGAGATCATGATGTGAATTGAATATTTAAGAAGGAGAGAATGTAGTGACCAAAAAAACAAACCATTCTCAAAACATAAAATATGATCATATGCTTAGTAAGAGTCGTCCCTAACAAAATGAAAGCCATAAGCCCAAAAAATAAATATGGGCTACTAATAGTGTGTTTACAAAATATGGAAAAGATTTGTATACATATGGTACTCCAACCCCTTCCCTTATTTATCCTACTATGAGCCATAACCACTACACTAAAGAGAGTTTTTAGAAATTTAGCGGCCAGAAAATAGATAATATTTGCGAAGGCCGCAAGCCCATGCTTCGCCCCCTTGGCTCCATGGACGGCTCTGCTTAGTTTGTTCATATAATAAAAGATGGTATCTTTGATTTTGCTACACCTTAGATCACAATATCTTTATTTTCATCTAGATATGTTTGAATCATATTTTTGCTATGATCTTTTAATTTTTTTTCAGACAATTATTTTTAAAATAAAAAAAAAAACACAAACACTAAAATCAGAGGAAATGAGTTTCAGGGGGCATATTGGAGAAATGGATTTATTTAGAGGCAATCAAATTTTAGAGAAATTGAGAGAATTTAAAGATTTTTTTGGATTTAAGCTAATTTCATATAAGAAATCGAATCTTATGTAAAATTGAAGGACTTCGAGATCGGTTTATAGCATAAAAGACTTAGTATTCCAAGGAGTCCAAGCTTTCTGCTCTATACATGGACAAAGATTTGAATAGTCTATAGAACTTAGTGTTGACGACATATGAGAAATAAGAATGTAAAGAAACTATTATTAGATTACTATCATATAAGAGGTATATGTGCAATTATAGAGTTCTAGTTGTTCATTTGAATCGGGGAAAAGAGCCTTTCACTTCTATCCATTCATCTATCTTGCTCAATCTTTACTAGACTAATTACAATATTTTGCCATTGATGTTATCTCAACATATTACAATCCAATATATTTCGAAATTACCATTACAAGACAAATATATAAGGGATATATAACTGGTATATATTTCGAAAAAAACAAACACAACTTCAAATATAGCAACATTTGTATCATGCATATTGTTATTTAAAATTATTAAGAGATTGGACCTTCATCAACTCTTTACAAAATGTATATGATTGTTATTTATGTTTTTTAAAATTTTTTTATCGTTTTCAATTATTTTACGGGTAAAAACGAATTCCAATACAAAAAATCATTGATGAATAATAATAATAAAAAAATATTTATCACATGTTTTGTAATACACAAACAAATTTCGGATTCCGAATAATAATACAATACATTTTGTAACTAAAACTACAATGCATTTACTTAATAATCAACGGATAAACTATAGTAAAAGATATATGCATATAGAGAGGTCTAGTTGTTCATTTGTTCTTTTGGATTATCTTTTTATTTATTTATGTGCAATCAATCAAATTCCAGTGGGTATTGGTTTTGATGTCAAAGTCATAAAAACATATTGACCCTACAAAACATAAACCATTAGAGCCAAAGACTTTTAAAATTAAAGTCTTAAATGTAATTGGTTTACAGAAGATTTCATTTTTGTTTTGGTTATAGCACAAAGGGCCAAAAACTCCTAACCTAAACCAAAGACTAGATTGTGTTTGAACACAAGTCAAAAGTTCTCTTTTGTTTTCTAGATCCATATTTGAGTATATCACTTAAAAATTCCAAAACTAATCAAAAGAACTTATAAAATAAAAATAAAAGTAAATCATATTATAATCGATTAATTGATGTCTAATAAGAACCAGCATGTATATAAATAAATACATTTATATTTATAAAGTTAACAGTGAATTTGTTGAGAGAGTAAAGGAAAGTATATGGAAAAGAAGAAAATAAAGAGAACCAGTGACTCCAAAGTGAAGAAAAAAGAGACAAAGATAATAAAAATAAAGCTAAAGCATCAGTCTTTTGGAATCCATTATTGTTGAGCATACGTAATTTAATTTCATCTCATATGATTAACAAGCATAATGCAACTGAAGTTCTTATCAAGAATCAAACCCTTTTTAACAATATGGTACAACAGATAATTGTGAACCCCCCAAAATATGATCAGTAACAACCCTAAGTATCGATCATTTTGATTGAAAAATGAGCAAAAGATACTACCTTTCGTCATTCTCCAGCTTCTTATGTTCTTCCATCCATGGAAGTTTCGGAAGATCATCAACGTTAAGTGATGAAGAAGGCAACCTTCTTTGAGCATCTGAAGAGAATTTATCTTTCTTTGGCCATAACCAAATCTTCGAAACCGAAAAGCTCTCGCCTTTAGCCACACTATTGATCTTTTTGTTGTCTTCTGATGATGAATTCCCTGTCTGCTCAGATTCTTTGTCCTGAGGTTTCAAACGCGGCAGTCTATCGTTGGCAAACGGGACTTTAAGTTCTGAGTTACCAAGTATATACTGATACGAACCCATCGAGAAACATCTTCTTGCATCCAAATTACTGCTACTAGTCTCTCCTCCAGCAACAACATCCTGACCCTGACCATTACCAACATTGTCTAGCCTCTTGAATTTCCCCAATCTCACCGGTAAAACTCCTTTCTCCACAACAATTTCTTGGATCTCCATAGTTTTCTGGCTTCCATTCTCGGTCACACCCTCTTCATCTTCTCTTATATCATCGAAATCAAACATCGGGTTCTCCATTGAGAAACCAGGGGAAAAGAGAGTGCCACGACAAAGAGGACAAGTCGAATTTGACTGAAGCCAAGTATCAATACAGTTCAAATGAAAAGCATGACTACACATTGGCAACAATCTCAGCTTATCTTTCTCAGAAAACTCACAGAGACAAACCGCGCAATCGAATGGCTCTTGAGCAGCACCATTACCACCAACACTACCACTACCAACAATCTCTTTGTAGTGAAAAACAGGTAAAGCGTCAATAAAAGCTTGATCAAGACCAGAATCATTCAAATGAAAAAGCTGTTGAAGCTGTCTTTGAAGAGCATCACTAGTTGAAATCTCAGGGAATCTATTAGACCTTGAAGAAGCAGTAGCAGAAGGATGTTTAATAAGAAACCTAACCAGCAAATGAAGAAGCCCAGAAATGAAGAACAAGACAGCTAGAATCACAATTATAAACAAAACCGCCGGACTGATTCTGTTACCGGACGACGGTGGCGGAGGAGACGGCGGAGAAAGAATTGGGTCTTTGTAAAACGGTGGTGGGTACGCAAAGTTCCCATCTTTTTGCTCAATTTTGAATCGAACCCAAGACATCTTGTAAGATTTATGTCACTTAGAAACAAGATTTCACCATAAAAAAAAAAAGATCTCAATTTTCAAGATCTCAAAAGCTCAATCAAAAACAAACAACTCCAAGTTAAGTGGAGAAGAGTTCAAATTTCAATAACATCAACATCAGAGATACACAAAACTCACCTAAAAGCTCCCTCCAGATTCTCAGAAAAAGTGAGACAAAACCCTAATCAAAGAGGGCTTTTTTAATTTTTTCAAATATGTCAGATTTGCAGAGGAAGAAGAGAGAGTAAAGGAACTCTCTTTCCTCTTGCTTTCTCTCTCTTCTATCTCAATGTCTATCTCTATAACCTTTCCTTTTCTTGAGCTTTAATGGTGGAAATAGAAAACCCGAAGAAAATGGCAAAAGTGATTTTCGAAGTGCGAGGCAAAAGTTGGAAAACAACAACAACATTGAAGAAATTAAGTAAAAAGCTTTGAAAAATATGAAAATGAAAAATAAATAGAGTTTTATAGATTTGGGCCCACGTGTATTGATGTCAGATGGTCAACTCCAAAGACAAAAAATGACGGTTTCCTATGTTTTTGGACTTATATTAGATCCGTACTGGGCCGGACCAACAAGCCCAATTGTCTTATCGTAATCAAATCTACTATTAGGAGCGTGACCAGCTATTGTAATAGTGGACAATCCGGTTTAGTTTCGGTTTTGGTTGTCTTGGTTTCGTTTTCAGTTTTATCCATTTTACAAATACTTAAATGAAGAAAAATTATTTGTAATTTAGTTTTTGATTTAATGAAATTTTGGTTTTGGCTTGATTCGGTTTTTTAATTCAATAAATAACCTAAAATAAAACTTTTCTATAATTTTATTTCTATCTAATACTCTGATTATATTTGTAAACAGACCACTCGATTTATAGATAAATATCGGTTTAAGTGGTTTGGTTTAGCTCGATTTAATTCGGTTTAGTTCGGATCAAATCTCTACACTTGAGAAGCGTATCTCTGTCAAGTGTCAACGAGCGTCTCAAAATCTAACCGTTGGATCAATTCTTTTGACGGTCATAGTCTCGCCGGCAGCATCGAACGGGATGTCGCCGGATAAATCTCCCACGTGAGCTACTCCGCCGCCTACGACTGATAATTGGTGCGATCCTGGGGATTCTTTCAACAAGTTACTGTGATTTAGTTGCTTTATCTTCTGTTGTTGGAGGAATCGTAGGTTAGCGATGACATTGCTCTTGGAATTTGTCTTAAGTAAGTACGATTGATTGATTTAGGTTGCTTTTGATCTTTGGATGATTCTGTTGTTGAAGCTGATTCAGCAACTCTAAAGCAAAGTCTTTTATCAGTGGAGGAGAATGTTCAAATGCAAGTTGGAAAATTTCTCCAATTGGATGATTGAGAAGGTATTAGAGCTCTATGGCTAAAGGTCCTTGTCTTAGGTCTCGTGGAGTAGTAGAATATGGATCCTTGTGATGTGAAGTATTGTGTCAAGTTGGGATTATTTTATTAAGGAGAGGCTGATTTTTTCCACAATGTTGTCGTCTTTGATAAAGTCTTGGTTTTATTTAAACAAATGACTAATTCCCAAACGTGGTGGAGTTAACAACCAAAAACAACATGATTGATTGATTCTGAATTCACTGAGAGTTTCTGGGGATCTAGATATCAAAAATCTATCATGAGAGAAACAAGAGAAGAGAAAGTGGCGTGGAGGTATTTTACCAGAGATGTTGTGCCGTTTGCTGCTATGTTTGCGGTGGAGTGTACCACGGTTGGGTCAAACACACTGTTTAAGGCTGCAACTATAAGAGGATTGAGTTTCTATGTCTTTGTCTTCTACTCTTATGTTGTTTCAACACTTCTCCTTCTTCCACTTTCTTTAATCTTTGGAAGGTACTGATCTCCTCATCTATTATTTGGCCTAGTATAGTCTTTTCAAGAATATGAACTTACTTTTTTACATATGCAGGTCAAGAAGATTACCATCAGCCAAGTCTCCTTTTTTCTTCAAGATTTTCTTACTTGGGCTTGTCGGGTAATAATACATTCCTGCTTCTAGATTTATAAGGATTTCTGGCTTTTGTTTCTGGGTTCTTTAACTTGAGTGGAACAGGTTCATGTCGCAGATAGCTGGTTGTAAAGGTATAGAATATAGTTCCCCAACTCTTGCCTCTGCTATCAGCAACCTCACACCCGCTTTCACATTCACGCTCGCTGTTATCTTCAGGTTCCATCTCTTTCTCTTTCGTTTCCACACTAACTAACCATACAAAATCTCAATCCTTTTGTTTTTATGAAATGACTATTTTGACATCATCAGTTTTCCTTCTTATGTTCAGTGAGTAGTAGTTTATACACGGTACCATTTGATGCCAGTAAATACTAGAGAATACAGAAAACTTCTCACGTTGATTTAAAATACAAAGTAAAATTATAGAAGCATCACTAGTACAAGTACAACCCTGTGGTTGCTTAGAAATGTTTTGCCTCATTCTTTCATGAGATAAGTTGGGTGCATATGAAGTCTATTTGTTACTATCAGTCTTATTTTCGAACTGTTTTTTTTTCCTTGGGTGACTCATTAAGGATGGAACAAGTAAGGTTAAGAAGCTCTGCGACTCAGGCTAAAATCATTGGCGCAATACTATCTATATCTGGTGCTCTGGTAATTTTGCTATACAAAGGCCCACAAGTTCTCGCTGCTGCATCTTTTACACCTTTATCACCTACCATTTCACTTCACCAGCATTTGGCCTCATTAGAGTCAAAGTGGACAATCGGAGGGCTCTTGCTTGCTTCACAGTATTTTCTTATATCAGTTTGGTATATTCTTCAGGTACAAACACTTGAAAATTTCACCAAAAGACTTTGGGTTGTTGTTTACACATTAAATCTGTAGCTGTCTATGGTTTCAGACTCGTGTCATGGAGGTATACCCTGAAGAAATAACCGTAGTCTTCTTCTACAACTTATTTGCAACACTAATCTCAGTACCAGTATGTATTTTTGCGGAGAGCAACTTGACTTCTTGGGTGCTTAAACCAGACATTTCCCTCGCTGCAATCATATACTCGGTGAGAATCAGATCTTATATTCTGCTTCAAGTACTGATGATTTTATAAACTCAGAAATTGACACTTTGTTTCAGGGAGTCTTCGTTTCATTATTCAGCGCTCTTACCCACACATGGGGTTTGCATATGAAGGGTCCGGTATACATATCCTTGTTCAGGCCATTGTCTATTGCGATTGCAGTCGCCATGGGTGCTATATTCCTCGGAGATTCGCTTCACCTTGGGAGGTACCATCTCTTTTATCTTCTTACGTTCCAGCGCATTCAGAATTTTTTTTTATCTGTACTGAGAAATATAGTACTCAACTCTTGGTAGTTGAAATGCTTAGTATCATGTATCTATCTATGGATTCACATTTAGAGAATTATATGGTTTCTGGATTCTATTCTACATGAGCTCTCATAGATGGTTTCTTCTGTATTATTTAGCGTGTGAGAAACACTAAAGTCTCCACAATTCCATTGTATATCTCTGTGTAAACTGCAATAAGCATTTTGAGACAGTAATAACGTATATAGGTTTTGCATATATTGTGTTGGGCAGTGTCATCGGATCAATGATATTGTGCATTGGATTCTACACTGTGATTTGGGGCAAAGCAAGAGAGGATACAATCAAAACTGTAGCTGGTTCTGAGCAGTCACCTTTTCTGCTTACACATATCATAGAAGATGAAGCCTTTCCATTAAATTAGGATTGATGCAAGTGGATTCCTTATACTATTCATTAATAAATATGTATCCTTAAAACATGTGTTTATATATGTCTATACATAAAAGATATAATTTTCTTGTATTATTATGAGATTACATGTGAATGAGTAGTTTTTTTTCTTCATTCTGCCTCCTTTTCTTTGATTCATGCAATGATTTTGAAAAAGTGAATACATGGTCGTGTTATGAATCTGGTAGAAATATTTGGTCTTCTAATTATCTTGCCAGTGCGTTCACGACCTTGCATAAGTTTCTGGTAGATTCATCCTTGGAGGAGAATATTCAATTGGAAGTTAGGAAATGCTTCAGCTGGAGGATTAAGCGCTATGCACTCTTGGAAGAAAAAAAGATGACAGCTCCATGGCCAAAGAGTTCCTTTCTTAAGGTATACAGCTATCTTGGTAGATTTGTAGAACTCCATGGTCATAGAGTTTTTTGAACTGGGATCCCTAATTATCTGGATCTGATCCTTCATGATATGTATTTTATTTTTATTGTGACAATTGCGTAAAGTATTGGTCAAGTTGGTGTGAAGTATTGGTCAATGTATATATTAGTTGTGACAATGATGTAAAGTATTGGTTAAGTTGGTGTGAAGTATTGGTCAATGTATATATTAGTAGTGACAATGATGTAATTTATCTAAATAAATTAATGTACCATTTAGCAAATGTGATGGCCGATGGGATTAACCACTATGATTTCTTATGAACTCACGTTGACTTCTGAGAATTTTTGAAAGTCTGACATCAGATCTATGACAAGAGGAGCAGGAGAGGAGACAGTAGCATGGAGTTACTTTTGCAGAGATGTTGTGCCGTTCACTGCAATGGTCGCGGTGGAGTGTGTCACGGTTGGATCTAATACACTGTTCAAGGCTGCGACATTGAGAGGATTGAGCTTCTATGTCTTTGTCTTCTATACCTATGTTGGTGCTACACTTGTTCTTCTTCCACTTTCCCTCATCTTTGGAAGGTACTGATCTCCTCAAGTACTCGTGACCAGTATAAAATTTCAAGAATGAGAACATATTTTACATGTGCAGGTCAAAAAGATTACCTTCAGCCAAAACCCCCGTCTTCTTCTATATTTTCTTACTTGCGCTTGTCGGGTAATTATATACTCCTTATACTACTAGATTTATGGGCATTTACCTGTTTTTCTTTTCTGGTTTGCTAACTTTGGGGAAACAGGTTCATGTCACTGATAGTTGGTTGTAAAGGTATAGAATATAGTTCACCAACTCTTGCCTCTGCTATCAGCAATCTGACGCCAGCTTTCACATTCACGCTCGCCGTTATCTTCAGGTGCCACCTCGTTTTCTTTCGTTTCCGTTTTGGGATAGTATATAAATAATCTAGTTAACAATGGGGTAGTTCCACGCTTATTAACTGTTCAAAGTTTCAAGCCTTTTGCTTTTGTCACAGCCACTAGTACAAGTGCAACCTTGTAGTTGCTAAAAAATGTTGTGCCCACATGTTGTTCTGAGAGAGATAGGGGTAAACTAGAGGTTTGTTTGTTTCTATCATCTGAACATTTAACTCTTACTGTTACTGCTTCCTTGTGTGACTCTTAAAGGATGGAACAAGTAGTTTTAAGGAGCTCCGCGACTCAGGCTAAAATCATTGGCACGATAGTATCTATATCTGGTGCTTTGGTTGTTGTTCTTTATAAAGGCCCTAAAGTTCTAACTGATGCAACTCTTACACCTCCATCACCTACCATTTCGCTTTACCAGCATTTGACTTCATTTGATTCGAGTTGGATAATTGGAGGTCTTTTGCTCGCTACACAGTATTTGCTTGTTTCAGTCTGGTATATTCTTCAGGTATGAAAAAAGACATAGGATTTGTTGGTGACACATATAACTCTTGCTAAATGTGGCAGCTCTATATGATTTCAGACTCGGGTCATGGAGTTATACCCTGAAGAAATAACTGTAGTATTCTTGTACAACTTATGCGCAACACTAATCTCGGCACCAGTATGTCTATTTGCGGAAAAAGACTTGACTTCTTTTGTACTTAAACCGGGTGTCTCCCTTGCTTCAGTCATGTACTCGGTGAGAATCAAACCTAATATGTTGCTTCAAGTAATGACTATATTTGAAGCTCAGAAATTAACACTCTGTTTCAGGGAGGCTTAGTTTCATCATTTGGCTCAGTTATACACACATGGGGTCTGCATCTGAAGGGTCCAGTCTACATATCCTTGTTCAAGCCATTGTCTATTGTCATTGCGGTCGCTATGGGTGTTATATTCCTCGGCGATGCACTTTACCTTAGGAGGTACATTATCGTTCACAATCTTCCTAAATAGCACACTCAGAAGATTTTATCTAGCTTGTCTCTATATTGAAAAACAAACATAACACTCAGCTTAAGTGTCATGTATCTATCCATGGAATTACAATTAGAGTTATATGGTTTCTGGTTCTAATTCGTCACCAGTCACACTTAGCCGCCATATATAGTTTCTAAATAGGTCTTTCGAGACAGTACTAACCGATGTAGATTTCGGCATATATGTTGTGTGCAGTGTCATTGGATCAGTGATTCTGAGCTTAGGATTCTACACTGTGATTTGGGGAAAAGCAAGAGAGGATTCAACCAAAACTGTGGCTGATACTGAACAGCAGTCCCCTTTGTTGCCTTCACACACCATAGAAGATGAATCCTCATAAAGATGTGACTGATGCAAGTGGAATCTGTTTATAGTACATATAATAATTTTTTATGTTTTTCTTCTTGTACTATTTCAAGGGACAAATAGGGATTTTTTATTAATGGAAGACGACTGATATTGCCATTAATACTTATACCTTGATATTTACCTTCGCTATGCTTGGTTCTGAGCTCATTTTGACTTCAGAGAAATCTAGAATATCTTCAGGGGAAGAGACAGTGGCATGGAACTTTTGCAGAAATGTTGTGCCATTTACTGCAATGATTGATCGCAGTGAAGGGTGCCACGGTTGGATCTAACACACTGTGCGAGCTTAAGAGGATCGAGCTTTTATGTCGTTGTCTTCTACTCTTATGTTGTTGCTACACTAGTCCTTCTTCCAGTTTGCTTCATCTTTGGCAGGTATTCTCATTAAATACTCTTTCCCGGTATATAATGTAATAGCATCTGAGCTAGAAATCAAACCTTATATATATAACTTGCTTCAAATACTGACTCTTAGCTTAAGCTCAGAAACTAACACTCTGTTTCAGGGAGTCTTTGGTTCATCATTGGGCTCAGTTATACACACATGGGGTCTCCACCTGAAGGGTCCAGTCTACGTATCTTTGTTCAAGCCGTTGTATATAGCAATTGTAGTCGTCATGGTTGCTATATTCATTGGCGATGCACTTCACCTTGGGAGGTACCATATCTTTCAACTATAGCGTTTCTTTCTTGAGAAACATAAGTGATATAAACTTAGTTATATGTTGTTGAAATCATGAAATGTGTAGCCTCATGATCTTCATGTTTACAATGTTGCATCTCTGTGTTATTGGCAGTGTGATTGGATCAATGATATTGAGCTTTGGGTTTTATACTGTGATTTGGGGCAAAGCAAGAGAAGATGCAACCAAAACAGCAAATCTTTCTGAGTAGTCACTTTTGTTGCCTAAACAGTAAACACAACAGAGAAAATGAAACCTTATCATGAAGGTGTATGTTGGATGCAAGATGGTGGTCCCTATCAAGAATTTAGTTTTATCTTCTCTTCTAATTTCTTGGATTCATTTAGTACCCATTTGAAGATGGGTCCTATTTTATTTATCTTGTCTATCTCTATATCTATATTTATGTCACATACACTCACATGTTATAAGTTTTTATTTAAAGATTATTATGTAAGAATAAAATATGGAACGTGTGTTAAAATCTAGCCACAACATGTGTAGGAATCCATTTAGTTAAAATTTCTCAAAGACCACACATATTTCAGACCCAACAATAAATGTTTTACAACCAACTCAAGTTACATGAAGATAATAATTAATCATTTATTTGATGGAGACTGTTTCACATGTCTTTACCCATCAAGACCCCATGAACTAATATATACAAATTTCACACAGAGAGAGAGAGAGGGGCTTAGCTTAAAAGAAAGAGGAAGCCAAGAAGTCAAAATGGTTCACGGAAGGTTATGTAACAGGGACGGCTTGATCTTGACGGCGATGGTGGCGACGGAGTTTTCTAACGTCGGAGTAAACACTCTGGTCAAAGCAGCGACTTCCAAAGGACTTAGTCCATTCGTGGTTCTCGTTTACTCTTACACATTTGGATCTCTTCTTCTTCTTCCTCTTACCTTCTTCTCCTTCAGGTTCTTCTCATTCTCACGACTCTGTTTCAAGTTTTTGATAGGTATTAAATAATTTCTCTTATATAGACTTTTCTCTACAGATCAAGATCTCTCCCTCCGTTGACGTTTTCAATTCTATGCAACATGGGAATTCTTGGTCTAATTGTGTAAGTTTTTATTTATTTTGTAACCCTAAATTTCGTAGCATTTGAATCCATATATCTTCATATGTCAATTGATTGGTTCTTGAATTTGATACTTTTTAAAAAGTATATTGTTTATGGAAGAAATTTCTTACTTATAATTTTGTATTTGTCTTCATAAAAAGAACAGAAGTGCGTCTCAAATCTTAGGCTACAATGGGATAAAATATAGCTCGCCGACTTTATCTTCGGCCATGAGCAATGTCAATCCTGCTTTTACCTTCATCCTCGCCGCTGTTTTCCGGTAAATCTATTTACCAAATATCTCAAATATAATAAATGATTAGTTGAAATCATTTAGCTTTTTGATTTTGTTTGCTTTACGTTACAAGATTGCTTATGCTAAAATACAACCGTAAACTTGAAGTTTTCAATGGTTGTTGACAAAAAGGAAAAGAAATCTCTCCATGGACCATGGTTGATGAAAATTAGAAAAGAAAGAGATCTATCTATCGTTATAGTTAATGTCACACATATTATTTTTTATAATGAATTCTCCAATCATCGTTTCATTAGAGCTCTTTTCTCGCCGCAAGACTCGCGCTGAGTCCACGGGATTTGTACTTAGTTTTTAGATTAATTTACAACTGAAAATGTGTACAAGTCCCATTTTAATATTAA